AAAAAATAAAAAAAATAAAAAGAAAACATTTATCGATCATAAAATGCTTCTTTATGACAAAACGGAGGAAGACAATTGGGCCAGATGAAGAAAAAAAAAAAAAAATTAATATTAAACGTTTCGTAAATCCCTTGATGTTACTAAACACATAAGTTATACGAAGATTTTGTTTGTTGTTTTTCTAATGAAATTAAAATTAAGTTTTAATTGTATGTAAAGCTAGTTCTTCAGTACCACGTAAGAAAATAGATATCGTGTCCAATCAACTGTTATAATTATTTCTCCCACTGTCGAAACGTTTGTGTGCTCCGGAGAATGTGTTTTCCCTTCCACGTGCTTGATATCCCCAACGATCTGAAATTATTTATAAAAACTTTCTTAGTTCATTGTTATTATTATTATTATAATTAATTTGTGTGTATAATATGTGTAATAATTAATTAATAATATTATGATTAAATTGGGCTGATAATACAACAAAACTTACTGCGATTGTAGCCACCACCACCACCAGTTCTCGTAGCTAATTCGGACAATTTGGGGTTGATGATTTGATTAGCCTCTTGAAGTACATTAATCAGGTCTTTAGCTTGTCTGCTATTTTGTGGTGTGAAGAATGCGTAGCTTGTTCCTGTGCTTTGTGAACGTCCTGTTCGACCAATTCTGTGTATATAGTCTTCAGACGATGATGGGTAATCGAAGTTGATCACATATTTTACATCGTCAACATCTAAAGAAAAATAATTATTGTAAAGGAGGCAAAAATGATTTAGATGCGCATATTATTCTTTTTTTTTTTTTTTTTTTAATCATACGAATCTAAACGAGTGTTTATTTCTTTTTATCTCTGGCTTTTGTGTAGTAGAAAAGTATATAAACAAAAAAATAAAATATGAAAGCTCAGAGAATTTAGTCAGAGTCACTAAGGGACTCTGATAATATTTTTATCTTTCTATCTTGCACATTACAAATTTATATTATTAGCTCCGTAAATTACATACAAATATTTATGTTTATATACATATTAATTATTGTATATATGCAGCTAAACCTATTATCATTCATAACATTTATATTAAAATGAAATATTAAATAAATGAAAAATAGAATAGAATGTTATTGTTTTTTTCTCTATGTAATAATAGAGAGAATCAAAGTATAAAAGCTATAATTTGATTTATTCAAAATCAATAATTCCACGCAACAGGAGTGAAGAAGACAAGTTCTAATAATTGAAAATTAACATATATATTCATATGAAAATATTTTGATAGATAAATATAAAAAGTATATAAAATAGAAGCTTAAAAGTTGATAGAGAATGAGAAAGATAAAATATATAGTAAAGAAAAGAATAAAAAAAAATAAAAATAAAAATAAAAAAAGAAGAGACTAGTAATACCAATATAAATATAATATATCGTTGTCTCCGGAATTATTGTTTTATAAATTATGAAAGGATACAAATTATGAGCTTAGCTTATAAATTACGCATTTAATGCGTATTTTATAATCCTTAAGTCTGCTGCATTATAATAAATACAAACCCGTTACTGCTGAACATTGCATTCCGTATGACTGCAAACAAAGTGCCACCAGGGGGTGTGTAGTCTTGAATGCAAGTTCAGATCACGGACTGTTGTGTCGTGAGCATCACAGTAGCGATAGTAGCAAAATCAATAGATTGTTGTCTCTGACACCGGCTGGGCATTGGCTATGAAGTGTGATGGTTGTACCAAAATGGAAACCAGCGTTTTATCTCACAACCAACCAGCACGATAACGCCCGCGCACCACTAAATACTTCCGTGGTACACAGGCTGTACACAGAGGCACATTAAGTACAAGTATTTTTTTTTTTTTTTTTTATGCAAATTGCGCACGTACTATGAGTGAGCCATGTTATTATTTTTTTTCTCTTTATGGTTTTTCATCGCACACTCACGTATTTAGTGCACCATGTGCCTCTGAAACAAAAGACAACCAGACTGATTAACATAAATTAAAAGATGCCCACACTTATATCTCTAAAAAAACCATTTCTCATTCTTTCATATCATTAATAACATTCTTTTTCTTTTATACTTTTTTTTTTTTAATAATTTTTTGTTGTCGCATTAAAACTTTTTTTTCTCAAGTCTTCGACACAAGCCCATCATCATATCCTCTTCGTCTTAGCTCACAGGAACTAACACAATGGGAATAGATTGCATTAGCAACATTATTCAACAGCTATGCTGGTGGAAGCACACATTTTTTTATCATTACTTTATAAATGCAAATTAGAAAATAAGAAAATAAATCAATATTTAAAACTTTTGAAACATTCAATCGTCATATATAGCATTGGAATAAATATAACAGCTGAGATAACTAATAAACTCTACAAATAAATTACAACATTGCAAAAGTAATAAATAAATAAAATAATAAATAACGAAAAAGAAATAAAAATTTTTTTTTTAAAAGATGCTTTACACGTACAATGTTTTCCAAAGAACAGTTTTTATACTAATTTTGATGTTCTTTTCATCAAACTCTTACAAATGACTAGTTTGAAATTTTATAATGAAACTGCAATCTACTAATTCCCATACATCTCCATAATTGAAATGTAGACATATAACAATTGGTATAATTGCACCTATAAAAATTGATTAAAAAAATGATTATAAATTTATATATACTAAATTAAACATAAATTCCATGTACAAATACTGAAATGAAAAACAGTAAAGCTGTATGTACGTGTTAATTTAGGAATATATAAATAAATACATAGCAAGTTTCATTTATAATAATGTTAAAGAATTATATGAACTTAAATATTTAAGTTTAGCAGTGTATAAAAAAAAAAAAAAAATCTGTATAAAATTATATTGCATAAAAAGTTTGAAACTCACTATGTACACAAGATCGGTCATCTAAAATGTAACAAATTAATATCTTCAAAATTATTTAAAATTAGTGTAACACTAGTCTGTATTCTTCTCAAAATAATTTTATGAAAAAATAATTTTAAGAAAGATATATTCGTCAAGTAATACTAGAATAAATAATTTTGAAGAAACCAGTCAATTACGTTTAAAATGAACTGTCCTGTATATGTGTAGAATTAAAAGCATTCATCAGTTTGCATCTATTGATAAATAAAATAAAGATATATATATGTATATTTATATAAAAGCTAAAATTATCTAAAAAAAAAAAAAATACCAGCTAACTAATGCCTTCTATTTTATGGTCTTTAAAAAGCTTATGTAAAGTTTGAGAATATATCATATACTTGTACTTCACACAATGTGTATCTTTTACTTCTGAAAATACTACAATTTAATAGCAGGATCTATATTTCCTATTTTGTAAATATATATAATAAAAAAAAAATAAATAAATAAATAAATAAAAAAATACTTTAAACGTTTATTAGAACTGGAAACTGCGATTAAATGTTCTATCAAAAATTTGATAATTTACCTATACGTTACTGGTTATTTTGTTGTTGAAAATATGATCCTACTGTTGATAAGCAGCATTCTCAGATTTATGCAAAATATATATGATTACATTGTCTTTGAATGAAAGTACTATGAAATATATAACCTATAAATATATAATAATTGTTATTCAATAATGATCATTATTTCACGTTATCCATTGAACAGTGAGGCATCACTTCATATAACCAGTCTGTGCTACATCGCCATCTTCTCCTTTTCTATATTTCCTTTAATATTCACGGAATTTATACTAACACATTTTATTTGCATGACTTAGAATTGTAATTGTTATGAAAATTTCTTTTTTCTTTTGTTTTTTTTTTGTTTTACTGCAAGATATTTTTTCAGAATAAAAAAAATAATAAAATAAAAGAAATGTATTACGTACCCAATCCACGTGCAGCAACATCCGTTGCTACAAGAATAGAACCTTTCTTGTTCCTGAATTCTGTTCAATTATAATAAATTAAAATTTGTAACAATGTATTACAGGAAAGGATGAAAATAAATGAAAAACGTTTAAAGGAATTATACCTCTTAAAACATAATCTCTTTCTTGTTGCGACTTATCACCATGCATGCACACTGCAGGCCAACCGTACCTCCTAATATTCCTAGTGATATTTTCAACTTTCTTTTTAGTTTCTACAAAGATGATAGTCTTTCCACCGTCATCATTAACACTGCCAATTTCTTGCAACAGAGTTCCCAATCTGAAATTTAATTAAATATTTCAATATAACTAATATTATTTTTTTTATCTATTAGTATTATATATATAAATAACATTTATAAAATGAAATCTGTTTATATCAGTTCTTCTTAGAGGTAAAAGTAAAGGTGTAAATACAATCATAGAATTTCATTAACCTAATTCATCATAAAACAGATATTTCTAATATTTATTTGTTTATATATTGATTAAAACAACTTCGAGAAATTACGAACTACTTACTTTGATTCTTTTTCATGTTCTTGACAAACATCGACTATTTGTAAGATGTTATGATTAGCCGCCAAAGTCAAAGATCCAATATTTAATTGAGTATAATCCGTTAAATATTCCTCAGCTAAATTCCTTACTTCTTTCGGCCAAGTAGCTGACCACATGAGAACTTGTCTGTCTGGTCTGATTTGTTCTATGATCTTTCTAATTTGTGGTTCGAAACCCATATCTAACATACGATCGGCTTCGTCTAATACCAGATATGTACACCTACGTAAATTAGTCGTGCCACGTTCTAAGAAATCGATAAGACGTCCTGGTGTTGCTATACAAATCTCAACTCCACGTTCGAGATCACGTGCTTGGCTGCCTTTTGGTGCACCGCCAAATATGCAAGTATTCCTTACATAAGACAATGATCCAAAATCATTAGCAACGCTTTGTATTTGTTGAGCAAGTTCTCGAGTTGGAGCTAAGACGAGAGCAATAGGACCGTCTCCTCTATTCAAAGGTTGCTGACTATTAATGTGTACAATAGCAGGTAAAATGTATCCTAAAGTTTTTCCAGATCCAGTTTGAGCAATTCCAACCATATTAAGTCCAGACATAGCAATTGGCCAGCCTTGAGCTTGAATGGCTGTTGGTTCTGTAAAACCTTGCTTTCTAATAGCTTGCATAACGTATTCTGGAAAGTTTCCTTCTTCAAAAAATTGAATTGGATTAGGTATTTTCTCTCCTTTAAGAGTAATTTTGTTTTCTTCTCTAAACGAATCGACTTCTTGAGGATGACGCGATTGTACATTTGGATGCGGTACATAGAAATCTTTTTTAAATGGTTTCAAATTTTCATAATCCCAATTAGGTTTTCTCAAATTAGTTCCAGCTACATTAGCATTACGTTGACCGCGACTAGCAAGACCTCCATTATTTCCACCAGTACCTCCGTTACGACTTCCAAATCTATTGTTTGTATTGCCACTACCATACCCATTTCTTTGGCTTACTCCTCCACGATGGCTGGCGCCATTGCTACGATAACCACCAGACATAGATCCGTAAGTCCTGGAAAATTGAAATAAACTTACTTTAATTGAATATTAAAAGAATAATAAACAATGAATATATTACTAAAGGAAAATCGAACTTTACTAGCAAATTATACAATTGTAGTGAACATTGAGAAACGGTTCCAGACTTTAGTGTGTGGACTCCGAAGGCATTAGTTCACATTTTGATTTTCCTCTTACAAGCATTCATGCTCCATCGAAATACAAAATGGAGGCATGCCAAAATAAGAGGATTAATAATTCATTTCGTTTTGTATATAATATATATTTTTACAAGTAAATTTTATATTGCACAATTCTATCAAATTAGAAATTCAAAAAATGATAAAGATAATTATTATTACATGTTAATATTTAAAAAAAAAAAAGAAGAAAAAAGGGGGAAAAAATTACTTTAAAAAGCAAATAAAAAATTTCTTTTCGTTAGAACATTTCTCTAACTATTAACTTGAATTAGTCAATTGTAATATTTGTTCGAAAATAATTAAGGATTAGCAAAATACTAACCCAATTCTTATTAATCCAAGAATAGTACTCCTGGTTCGTATCCTTAAACGAAGACATTTACAATAATATATTAAAACTAAACCAAATCATGGTCGAGAAAGTAAATTAATAGTTCTTTGGAAAATAATAATGTCTTCTAGAAATTTCTATTTTCTCTTTCTTTTTTTTTTTTTCATCGTTTAGGCGAGAACAAAATGGATACTTCCATTATGGACGGTTCGATAATTTCGCGCATTGCGAATCTTGCCGATGTGCGCATGATGGAAAGTTCCAGAAATTTGCACAATCATATTAAAGGTTTTCAATGAATCACTGTGTATAATCCACTAAACCTCATGTCTTGTAGATAATAATAATGATAAAAATTCTGAAATACCTACTAAAGTAGTGATATCAAATTAAAATGAATTTCTTTACTCACATGTTGAACAGTTGTAACTGCTTTAGTCCCAGAAGAGAATGTATGAGGTGTGTGCAGTTGTTAAAACTTTGTTTTTTTTTTCTTTACTTGAAAGCAGCGAAGATTTCTGTAAAATAAATAATTTGGTTAAAGCTTCGTTGAAATATTGTTTAAAGAGGGTATTGAAGAATTGAGAACAAAAATACACGATAAAATAAAATAAAAAATGTACGATATAATATAAGACTGAACTTACCCGCGCTGCTACCAGGGACAGAAAGAACGACCCAGGCAGTTGCCGGATATGAGTCACCTAAGATTCTACTTCCTAAAATTAGTAGAGAGGGTAACAATTCTGCGCACAACTTCCAAATTCATCTTTTGCGCATACTTTCCATGTATCGATCTCTTTTACTTTTATATATTTCTAGAAAATTCGTCAACAGAACAATTTATAAATCCATAATTACATTCAAGTGATATTAAATATTTAAAAAAATATTGATCATGTTGGAAAATTTACTAATTTGTATATAATTTGTAAAATAACTGTTTTACTGTATGCAATAATTGTAAGAACTTTCTACCAATCAAAAAGACTTGCATAGGTCGATCTTTCTGATTGGTCTATACTTAGTATACGTTACTTACACGAGCGCGCGCACTTCGTGTTTTTACGTCGTGTTATGTATATATATATATATATATGCATATGTATGCACCGTGAATCAGTATAATTGTAAATTAATTACTCAAAATGATTTAGAAATAACACAGGACATGATTAATCTAAAAATAATTTAATGCTTTTATAATCTACTAGTCAGCTTAATGTGTTTATAATAGATACATCGTCAAAACTATGTGCATATTTGAATCATTCTCAAATTGCATTCATGCTTCATTAAGATCTATCCAATATTATATATATATCAAATTATTTTACATACTTTTGTTTAATATACAATTTCATTCATTAAATCTTAAAAATGTTAATATCCAAATACTTTCGTATATGTATATTAATATTTACTTATTATTTTATTTATATTCAGTTTCACATAAAAAATAATAAATTAAATTTTACTTAATAATCACTCTTTAAATCCAGTTTTCTTGTTTTTCAGTTGTCTACAATTATCTTTCAAATGAGTATTATAAAATTTCTTTTAAGAATAATAGAGCTTGTTCGTAAAAAGTAAAATGTAAAGCTGTTGTTAATGCAGCTTTCAATTGACTCGGGAATAAGCCTTTAAACAAACCTTTTGCACCCTCATCTCTTATCGTAACTCTGAAACAATCTATCAGACCTTTGCATTCAAAAAATTTACCAAATCCTTTCCTACCATCTTTAAAACCTTGGATTTGGAGTCTTTTTCGAGCTAAATCCATCGGATATACAATTGTTTTAGCCATCAAACCACTCATACCACCCGATATTAAAGAATTGTAAAAGCTTATATTGGTTTCTTTAAAATATTTTTTATAAGTATCTGTTAAAAAATTATAAAATAAAAAATGTAAACCACTGTGTGGAGCAATTTGTATCAATGTCGGTGATAATCCGGCAAAAAAGACCTTCGGTGATTCTTGACGTAAAATTACACTGTAAATAAGATATAAACAGATATTTTAAATTATAATATAAATAGATTACGTATTAACCTTTTGCACTATAATAATATGTGAAAATTGTGATACGTTTTATGACCCAAACATGAGAAACACGAATTTTACTCGTGGCAAATTTTACAGGCCAAACATAAAAAGCACAAAAAATATAGCACCAACTTTGGCACACAGCTCTGCACGTTAAATCATAGTGCAAAAGGTTAATTGCAGTAAAAAATTTCTTTTATTAAACTCACCTACACAAATGTATTATGCCTTTATATACTTTATCATTAGAAGACTGAGCTATTAATCTCGTTCTAATTGTATCAAAAGGAAAAGATACAATAGTAGCTATACTTCCGGCACTTGCACCAATCAAAAAATTTTTCAAATTTTTCCACTCATTTAAGATTGAATTCTTATTAGAAAACGTCATAAGTACGTTGTAAGAATAAAACTGTAATAAGATCAAATTTTTTAAATGTCCTATTTTATTCTATCACATATCTTTTTATATTTTAGATTATACTTTACCTGTCCTGCCCCATAACTTATGGATAATAATTGAGCAGGTACATGTCCTTTCCATAATGCAAATATTCTTTCTTCTTTTAATATTAACCAAAATGCTTGAGAAATAGATTGATATTTACTTATATGGTATTTTTTTATGGGTTCCACTTGTAACTATAAACAAATATAAAACACATATGAGTTTGTAAATAAAAAGAAACATATAAATACTTGAATAATATCATAATATTAAAAACTTGATATTACCTGAAATCTTATTTTCACAACATCCAAAGGTTGGCAAGTAAATCGTGTGAAAAATCCACTGATAGCTCCTGCAATTGCATGATCTGAATTACTTTCTTTATTCATTATTCTCATTAAATATTTGTTGTATAAATATTATGATTCTTCATCTATTTTCTCTGTTTTACTAAAAATTAAAAAATAATTTATACCCTTATATTTCTATTTTGAAAAATAATACAGGTTTTTCTCTCCAAATTCAACTTTTTACATATCAAATTCTAACTTTTAACAATTTTGAATTTCTTAACAATAAATTAACATTTAATTTGATTATTTTTACAAAAGCATAAGAAAAAAGTTTTATAGACAAATTTTATTTATAGAAGGATTAATTTAATTTATTTCAAGTCGTGTAGTATAAAAAAAGAATTGTTTAACAATCCTCTAAATTCACTCTAACATAAATTGAATTGGGAGTGTAAAACACTACATGTACTGTATTGTTAAATATTTCTAAATTACAATATGTATATATACACATAAATTGTTGTAATTTTAAGTGATGACATAAATAACAAAAATAAGGATACCTTCTCAATGTATTAAATTATTTTTCAAATTCATTTATGTTCGAAAGATAAAATTCTATGATTATAACTATACACTCAGTATAACATAACCTAATTTGGGATCCATTCACCACATTGATTGGCTATTCCATTCTTATACCGGTGGTCCTACTAAGAACGAAATAGATATTGTCAAATATTAGATATATAAGTCTAACGTGCTCGTCGATGTTTAACGTACTTATTTAATAATTAAATTAACTGAGAAAAGTAATCCAGTCTTATTTATCAATGAAACTTCATTTGACATGTCTTACACTGAATTGGAACATGGTTATCAGGTAAGTAACTGATGATAATATTGACAGATAAAATATGTCACAATGAAATGTATGCATTTTTTAACATAAAATAAAGCATGAATTTAATAGTTCTTTTAATAATTTTCTTTCTAGGGTCTTCGGAGTGCAAGCCGACCTATATTTTATGTAGGCGATATCAATTCTGTGCAATCCAATCTTATCGGTCCTGTTTCATCTTCTATTTATCGATCATCAAAAAGAGTAAGCAGTAATTATAATCAAGTAATAATATATTAGTAATTACTGTAGTATTTTTCTGCCTTTTGATTATACGGTTATATTTTAATTGTTATATTACATTAGTTAAATTCTGTTTCTTGATTGTGGCGCATGCAACAAATAAATTTTTGTTCTTGTCTTCATTTCATTATTTTTTAATTTTGTATATCTCATAGCATTTTTAGTTCAGTAATTTTATATTTATTTGTTTAAAAATTATCAATTGAAATATTTTAACATTAAATAGGTTAAGAAAAATATTACATTTGTCATTGTCAAGTTTTAATGTAAGTATTTAATACATGAATACAAGATAATAAAAAATATGTCAATAAATTTTTTAAATTGATATTTAAATAATTGAAAATATTTGTTTATATATTTGGTGTGTTGTCTCTCTGTATACATATATTAACTTATATAACACTAATTTCTGAGATAATTATACATGAAAATATATTCATACTTACAAAGAGTATAAATGTCAGATAATTTAACAACGTCATCAGCAAACTTATATGTAACACTTTTATTATCAAAAATTATATAAAAATATCTTTTTTTTTTTTTTTTTAAATATTACCTAGATCTCTTTATTACTTATTGTTATAGAGTAACTTTCACTACATAAAGAACAGTGTTCACTTAGGGAGTTTCCAATCATCTAAAAATAGAGTGCCCACTACTCACTTTATATTTTTGGTTATTTTATGCAAAGCATGTTTGTACGTGGTTATAAAGTTTTAATTCAAGTCTTTTATAGTTTGTTTCTTTTTCTATGGTGCTACATATAAAAATATTTATTAAAATAATTTGTACTATGTATTTTTTATAGTGTTATTATTATCAAAATATCATAATTTGTTTTTTTTTTACTAATTAACAGCTGATTTACATTGCAAATACCATATATTTATCAAGTAATATATACATAAAAATTCAACAAATATTTTTTGAGTAATATCATGTAATTTTTCATTTTCGTTAGGTATTTTCCTATTAAGTTTCTAATTAATTTATTATCTCCATGCACGCATTAACTTTAATGTTAAGCATTGTAATAGAAAAACAGATTTTTAAACTTTTACACAAATTGGAATTACATATTTGTTTACAGTAAATCGTGTATGATCTATAATATGTATGAATAACTGTATATATTCAACTTTATTCTTACAATGGAAAGTATAAATCCTTCAATGTCTATTACTTCAACATCTGAAATATTTCCCGAAGTATACATTGTCGATAATGAAGCAGAACCATATTGGCTAATAATGATGGTAGAGTTCATTTTCTATCAATAATAATGTACATTTGCATTATATTTTTATAACACATATTTGTTTTTACAATAGTTAAATGCTTGACGTATACTAATATATGTTAAATAATTATATATGAAAATAAAATGTAACGTATTATCTAATTTGTTAATTTGCTTGTAGAATTGTATGTTATTAGTTTGAAAAGAATTAAGATTATATACATTTATGAAATTAACTTTATCTATCAGAATACAGTAAAGCATACATATACATAAATCATAATTTGTGTGAGTTTATTTTTTATTGTTAGTAAAAAAAAAAAAGTATACTCGACACAACAACGTGTTAATACATAGTTTTTGAGAGTGGCATGTTAAAATCTATATTTCATTATGTTTATTTTGTTATCAGTGTGTATTATGTACTTATGAATTGCTAATCAAGGTTTATGATATTTGTATAGTTAGCAAAGATACATAAAGTATTTATTATATCTACTTTTAAGATATTAATTCCGTATGAATAGTATTACTAAAGTTTTTTTATTATGAAACAACATTTTAATCTATGAACATGATATCATTTCTATATAAAGGAATAGATATATATCTATAACTACAAAATATTTTATCTTATTAATTATGAAAGAAGTATTGATAAGGCTTATAAGTAAATTAAATATAATATGACTACAATCCTAATTAGCTTATAATAATTATAAGTTTTACAAATAATATTAAAAAAATGAAATCTATGAGTTTAGTTATGCAGAGATATTTGATGAGCACAATATTTCAATGATATATGTGTCGTTTAATGAATCAAAAAAACTAAATAAAATTTTCAAAACTTTGATAATATAAATTTTTCTTAACAATTGAACTTTTTTTTTTTTTTTATTTATTTGATAATAGGAGATATAAAATATATTATCTTTTATCTTATTGAGGAGTGTTATTGATACTATTATTATTATGATTATTATAGTTTTTCCAGTATCTGTGTGCCATATGTATTCAATTGTATAATTTGAAATTGTGTTTGCAATCATCATTCTACATAGTAATTTATTCTGTTATATTTTGTACACCATTACCGTCTAAAGATAAATAGAAGTATAGTAATAGAGTAAAAATGTTATTAGCTGAATCATAGATTAGTTTCTCGCGTACGATCTAACGTTTGCTTCTCGCCAGTCGCAATAATATCGAAGCAAGCGGAAAAAATGTTCTAATTTTTTGCGCGGCTATATTTGAAAATAATTATACACGTGTTAATTAAATCTAATTTATATAGAATGCCTTTTCAATACTATTTTTAAAGTAACAATCACAATGAAGTAAGATTTGATCTATCTCTCAAGATAAAAAATTAATGTAATAGATAAAATATGTAAGTAATATATCTTGACACGATTTTAAATGTCACATTCAATATTCAGAATGACTATATAATTATTGATCAAACTAAGTTTAAATATAAATGTTTCTAATGAGATATTTATCAAAATAACATTTAAATGTGATTGTGAAGATTAGTGAAATATAATTATTTCAAGAAAACAAGATTATAATAATAAATATATAAAGATATTTGAGAGTAATAAAAAAACTTTATTTAATTCTCAGAAGAATGAAGTCATAAGATAATGGTATGTTTTAACTATACATATTGTGAGTGAGTAAATAACCAAGTTAACTAATTTTTATTTATTTATTTTAAATATGTCCAAATGAAAGTACTCTCTTTTTCGAGATATTATTATAAAAAATGAATATTTATTTATGATTTCATAATTATTGTACAGTTTTCTTTTTATTTTTGATTAAAAAAAAAAACAAAATATTCTTATACGCAAAGATTTGTATCTACCGATGCGTATTGAATTTATTCTAATTTCTTGAAAATAAATAAGATACTTTTGAAATGATATAAAAGTCATCGAATAGTATTTAACATTTTAAGAAAGACAATTTTTATTTGTGTAAAAAAAAAAAAAAAAGAATTATATTTTAAAATCATCTGTGAATCCGAGAATAAACTTTATGGAATAAAGAACGATGGAGTGGGCATGGCTAAAGGATTGGTGGCGTTTAAAAAAGTGGCGTTATTACGAACATGGAAGAAATCCAGAATCAGTATCAGGCATTAGAGATGTTGCCGATTTGGATACTTGCTGTTACTGCGATGAGTGTTTTGTAGGTTGCAAAGGTTTAATAATGAGATTCTGCTTATATCAAGCACATATCAATGCATTGTACTTAACGTTCAAATTTATACGCTCATATAAACAAGAACATTTAAATAAAACTTTGTTATAATATTATTAATATACAGGATGCCTGAGATTTCTTTGGTCAAATAGTATCAGTGTATTCTATGTACAATAATAAGATAACAACTTTAAACCTCAGACATCCTATATATAATATATTATATTATTTTGCTGCGATAGAATTCTTATATGTATATATAAGAATTATATTTATATGATTATTTTAAAAATAGAATATATATATATATCCGCATATCTTTTTAAAATAAATATATAAAATATATTCGATAAGATCCATATAGTTCATAGTATCATTTGGTTTTGTTCAACATCCTCTTATGTTCTTCTGTTCATCCTTCATTTTGTCTTGTTTCTTTATGTTTTGCATATAATTTTTTAATGCTTATGTGATTTAATTGAATGAATATTTTAACCCAAACTAAAATATAAATCGTTAGATCATATCAATGTCGCATGTTTTTGTCATTTGCACGTACACATAAATGTTTGAAAGGAAAGCAGATAGTGTTCTGTGACAGACATATGTTTTCCTTTTTATGTAGGCAATAACACATGTGATCAACCTGTAAATTTCTTATGTAATTAAGTGGAAAAGAATAATCAATATAAAAAATAGAATGAATAATAATAATCCACGATATGATGAAACTAGCCTCGATCAAAATACTGGTGACGAACCCAGCTTTTTGACCTGTCTAAAGGCGTACTGGGTGAGCACTGTTTAAGACAATCTTTTCTAGAAAATATATTTCAGTAGCATTTGCGAGCTTATTGTAGTATATTTTTAATAATATATTAATAATTATAATAACGTATAGATTTCATGTTTCTTGGTATATTTATATAGTAGAACTACTCTCTGTTTATAAAGCTATGCTGAAATGTTATTAAATAATGTTGCTTGCTTCGCACACCACATGCACATACATATATACATACATATATATATATATAAATATTTTTGTTGTATATATATTAAATATTAATTTCTATGTTATAGGCCGAACTGTCGGAAGGAAACGATGATGCATGCATGGGAGGCACTGAACTCGAAGGAGAAGGGAAGCAAGTTTTGGTTGGCATATGTGCGATGGCCAAAAAATCTCAGAGTAAACCGATGAAAGAAATTTTAACGCGACTTGAAGAATTTGAATATATCAAAATTATTGTATTTCCAGAAGAAGTTATTTTAAAGGTAATACACTTTTAAATTTATATATTTATTTCTTTTTAAAAGATACATGTCTTTATAAATATAAATGAAATCATAAAACACGTGTTTCTTGTTTCACAGGAATCTGTAGAAGATTGGCCTATAGTCGATTGTTTAATAAGTTTTCATAGTAAAGGTTTTCCTCTTGATAAAGCTATTAATTATGCTGATCTTAGAAATCCTTTTATAATTAATAATCTTCCAATGCAATATGATATTCAAGTAAGTGAACTTATATTTTCGTAGAAAATCTCCTATCTTCGAATAAAATTCTACTACAAAAACTTAACGTAAACAATAAAATTATTTATTAAAATACATAATAAATATTTAAATAAAATTTGTATTATTTAGGATCGTAGAAGAGTTTATGCTATTTTAGAAAGTGAAGGTATAGAAATTCCACGGTATGCTGTATTAGATAGAGATTCGGCTGATCCAAAACGTGAGTAACACATTTGTTAATTTTTCAATATTCACATTTTAACACATACTTTAAATTTATAGCTTGTTTTAGTTTGTTATCATTGTTATGTTATTCTAATTTCTGTACTACTATCTATTATTCATATTATTTGTATTGTACGTAAATATAAATATACAGTTTTTGACATGCAAAAAACAAAGAACCCATTCCAGATCACGAATTAGTTGAATCCGAGGATCATGTTGAAGTTAATGGTGTTATTTTTAACAAACCATTTGTGGAGAAGCCGGTATCTGCCGAAGATCATAATATATATATTTATTATCCAACATCTGCTGGCGGAGGAAGTCAAAGATTATTTAGAAAAGTACGTATACATGTAGAGAATATTTTAATACAATTATTTATATATATAAATCATATTAATAATTAATAAATAATAAATATTTTTTATCTAACATATATAGATAGGTAGCCGTAGTAGCGTGTATTCTCCAGAATCTCGAGTTCGAAAAACTGGCTCTTATATTTATGAAGATTTTATGCCCACTGACGGTACAGATGTAAAAGTATATACTGTAGGGCCTGATTATGCACACGCAGAAGCTAGAAAAAGTCCAGCTTTAGATGGTAAAGTTGAAAGAGATTCGGAAGGCAAAGAAATTCGTTATCCTGTTATATTGAGCAATGCTGAAAAATTAATAAGTAGGAAAGTTTGCTTGGCCTTTAAACAAACAGTTTGTGGTTTTGACTTGTTGAGGTATATACGAATAAATATATTACTTTATATCATATAATTTGACGATATTTTGTTTGTAATGATAATAATTTGTAATATTTATAGAGCAAATGGTCAATCATTTGTTTGCGATGTTAATGGGTTTAGTTTTGTGAAAAATTCTAATAAATATTATGATGATTGTGCAAAAATCTTGGGAAATATGATATTAAGAGAATTAGCACCAACTTTACATATTCCATGGAGTGTACCATTTCAGTTAGATGATCCACCCATAGTACCAACTACATTTGGCAAAATGTACGTTTTATTTTTATTTTTCATTAAATTTATGTGTAATAAATACATGGATTAATATAATAAATATTTTATGATTTAGGATGGAATTGCGTTGCGTTGTGGCAGTTATTAGGCATGGCGATAGAACACCAAAACAGAAAATGAAAGTTGAAGTTCGTCATCCCAAGTAAGAATACGATAATTTTATCATATAAATATTGTATTATTTATCATTAAATAAATGAATTCAACAGGTTTTTCGAAATATTTGCAAAATACGATGGTTATAAACATGGTCACGTTAAATTGAAACGTCCAAAGCAATTACAAGAAATATTGGATACCGCGCGTAGTTTATTAGCAGAAATACAGCATCGTGCAGCAGGTCCTGAATTAGAAGAGAAGCAAGGAAAATTAGAACAATTGAAAAGCGTATTAGAAATGTAAGGAGTATAAATAATTATTAAAAAATTGAGATTATTATTTACAATACTTATGTTATTTAGGTACGGTCATTTTTCTGGAATAAATCGTAAAGTACAAATGAAGTATCAACCACGCGGGAGACCTAGGGGAAGTTCTTCCGACGATGGTAACAATCACAGTATGCTTCTTTTATTCATTATATCACAAAATATGATATATAAACATTAAAACAATTTTATACATCGTTGTTCTGATAGTTAAACCATTTATTGATATCAGTTTATTTATGTAATTGAAATATTATTTTATAAATTGTTTATTTTTCTATTAGATCGACTGGGAGAACCATCCCTTGTTTTAATACTCAAATGGGGTGGTGAATTAACACCAGCTGGACGTATTCAAGCAGAAGAACTGGGAAGAATATTTCGCTGCATGTACCCTGGTGGTCAAGGTAGACACCTTAGTGGTTCGTATCTTATATTCATTTGCTTATCATATGCTTATTTTTTAAGTTGATCTATATACGAATATATAATATATATTTATATAAAGTCGAAAATATTATTTATCAATTTTATTATTATTTTCCTGCACTTTTAGCCATACATGCTCGTATAAATATGGAATTACTGGATTGAAGTGAATATATTGAAAAGTTTGTTGTGTGTACATAGTTATATTATTTAAATATTTACATGGACAGTAGTTACACATCTATAGATTTTTTTTTTTTTAAATATTTATCATTAAAATTACGCAAACAAAAAAAAACAAATTCATGCAAGATCATTAAATATATACATATGTAAAATATTACATATTAATTACTCTATAATACTAATATATTAATTTGTATTATTATGAGAAATAATATTTTTCTATGATACAGATATTGATTTATAGATAATTTGGAATGTTATTTCAGAGGAAGACTCAGAGATGTTACCAAATCACGGTAACTTTTTAATACTGTATCCATGTTTGTCTGTAGTTGTGTGTAGATTAAAATATACTGTTGTGTGCTTAGAGAAAGCTTACAATTAAATCAATGCCACCAGTTCAATATTTTTATAAAGTATATATGTACATATTTTTCATTTTAATATTATTAAATACTACTGCAACGTAAGATAATTATTATTATTATTATTATTATGTGGCATTGTTTTCAGCATTACGTGTTTTCATAATGGAAGTATATAACTATGCTAGATGCTTTCATTTCATAACACCAAACATTTGTTTTTATTCACACGTGATCATCTGAATTATGTGTATCGTTTTTATCTAATTAATTATTTCACAATAATATTTTAAAATTGTCATCAATAAAAAATTGATATTAGAATTATTTTCATACAATTTTTGAAAAAATCAACAATAAAAATAATCCATGTATGATTTAACTACATAACTCATGTGTTTATCAAACTATAATAGTGTGTTTCAGTAATTTAATAAAAAATATGATCATTATCTATGAACATAATTATAAGGAAAAAAAAGATAAATAAAAAAAATACACAATAATTTTATTAAATACAAAATCTTTAACAAATTAATTGTTTGATATAGGTGAATATGCTGGAGCTCAAGGACTTGGTTTACTTCGTCTTCATTCAACATTCCGTCACGACCTAAAAATATATGCCAGCGACGAAGGAAGAGTTCAGATGACTGCAGCTGCTTTTGCTAAAGGATTACTTGCTTTGGAGGGCGAACTTACACCAATTTTGGTCCAAATGGTTAAAAGTGCAAACACAAATGGATTGCTTGATAACGATTGTGATAGTAGCAAATATCAAAATATGTAAGTTAATAACAAGAAAATGAGAAACGTTTATGTGACTCGCATAATTATATCATTACAAATATATTTTTCAGGGTTAAAACTCGTTTACACGAATTATTGCAACAAGACAGAGAATTTACGCGCGAAGATCGTGAACAAATCAATCCAGGAAATGCATTAAGTATCAATGCAGCTTTGGATTTTGTTAAAAATCCTGTTAAATGTTGTCAGCACGTCCATGCACTGATTCAGAAACTTATGGATATTGTTCGCATAAAGAAGGATGATCCAAAAACAAAAGGTATACGCGTATTTTTATTCTTTAACATATTTCTTCTTATTTAGATAGTAATGTTTATTTTTTTATTTAGATGCAATACTTTATCATGGAGAAACTTGGGAATTAATGGGACGTCGTTGGGGAAAAATAGAAAAAGATTTCTGTACGAAAAATAAAAGATTTGATATATCCAAAATTCCAGATATTTATGATTGTATAAAATATGACTTACAGCATAACAATCATACCTTACAATTTGATCATGCCGAGGAATTGTATATTTATGCGAAATATCTTGCTGATATTGTAATACCTCAGGTAATTATTTTCAAATCGACATATTATTTAAATACTTTTATAAACATAAATATATCGAATCATTTTGTTAACAGGAATATGGTTTAACTGTACAAGAAAAGCTTACAATAGGTCAAGGTATTTGTACGCCCCTTTTAAAAAAAATAAGAGCCGATTTACAAAGAAATATTGAAGAGACTGGAGAAGAAACGGTTAACAGACTAAATCCAAGGTATATATAAAAGAATAAATAATTTTGATTTAAATTATTATTAAACTTTAATTAGATTATCTATAATAATTTTTATTACATTTACAGATATTCTCATGGTGTTTCAAGTCCTGGTCGACACGTACGTACGAGACTATATTTTACAAGCGAAAGTCACGTACATTCTTTGCTTACCGTCTTGCGTTATGGTGGCTTGCTTGATGTAAGTGATACGTACGCATGCTTAAATAATAAGTTTGTGTATTTGTATATTTCATTGTTATATTATAACAATTATAAGTTATTATAAAATTGTTTAAAAGTATAATATTAATTAAACAAGAAAATTTGTTTCTTCTTTTTATGACATATAACAGGTAGTAAAAGATGAACAATGGAGAAGAGCCATGGAGTATGTCAGTATGGTTTCAGAATTAAATTATATGTCACAAATAGTAGTTATGCTATACGAAGATCCAACAAAAGATCCTAGTTCGGAGGAACGATTTCACGTTGAACTACATTTTAGTCCTGGCGTTAACTGTTGCGTACAAAAAAATTTACCACCCGGACCAGGATTTAGACCACATTCCCGAAACGAGAGTAGCCATAACATGGTAAATTATGATATATATATATAAATACATCTTTTTTTTTGTATTGATAAGACGTGTCAATTTAATTTCTGTATCTATTTTATTTCAATATGAAGGGAGAAAATGGTGGCTCTGGGCAGGATAGTGTTTCACAATGCAGCACGCGCATTGAAGAGGAAGATACTGAATTAAGCATACTAGAGGATGAAATAATAAATCCAACAGTACAAACTGTATGTTATTCAATTGATATTAATCATAAGACGAGTTCAATCTCCATAGAATATTCAATTACCATAAAAACGAATTTATTTAACGAAAGGGTTAAATTGTATATTTGTGTTTTATTTTTCAAGACCAATGTTCAACAGTAGATAATTAATCGTAAAATTTGTTATTATTTTAAGGAAACATCTCCACCTTCGGGACAGGATATTGTTGATGGACAATTAGATAGTCCTACAACTAGTAGAGGTATCGATATGATGGATTTGGATCCTAATATGATGGATGAACCATATGATAGCGGATTTTTACAAAGTTCCGCACCTATTCCGATTAGGCATGTAATGTGTGCCAAGTTGGTTCTTTTTCTTTTCCTTTTTTTTTATATAAATAATTATTATAAATAATTATTCTCGTAAATATTAATCGTTATTAATAATTAAGATAATAATTGATTTTTCATTAAAGTGCAAGAACAGTTGCCGGCCATGAAGCCGCAAGACTAGGTAGCCAATTGGCAGCTAGTCAAAGACAAAGACGTGAGAGAGAAGCAAATGCTATGGTGGAACCACGTGCTCGTAGCTATGATCATCAACACCAAGAAAAGGCTGAAAAGGGTAAGCTTTTGAAATATAATGCATGCAATCTAATTACACTTATGACATTGGATTGTCTCACGACAAATTTTATAATCTGTTTTCTACTTTCTTTGAATAATCAATTTTTCAATCAACATCTCAATAATAGTGCGATGCTCCTTTAAATGGTAATAGAAAATTTTCTAACAAATTGTGGTGAACTATAACTAACTACTGCATGGATATTAATTGTTACACATCCTTTCATTTTTCTTGCACATCATCAAATTTTTGTGTGTACTCATGTTGTCTATATTTAAAATCAACTAAAAATAAAATGAAAGAAAAGAACAATTATTATTAAAGTATTAATAAAGCTAACAATTTTTACAATTTACATTTTATATAATATAATCAATAATTCACTTTTACAATAATAATTGTAAATCGTAGAAATTAATTATAGGTCAGATACACACATACTATAGGAGAAGAGAGATGATTTATTTCTATTCTTAATAATTTAAATTTGAAATATTTGAAAAGAAGAAGTACAAGTGGTTTCTTTTAGGTGAATTTATATAAAAAAAAATAGGTATATTTTTGATACGTTTTTTTTTGAATGAATTCTTTTTTAACATTTTTTTGATTATACAAATTTTCGTTGACATTGATCATACAATGTCTTGTGTTTTTTCTATGTCTTATTTTATAGCTGCGGACAAGCTGCAGTATCAGAGCTTGGACGCGGTCAACAAAGAAGGTATGTCATTTCACCTTCCTGTTGTAACATTCGTAACATGATTTCGTGAATCATTTTGTATAGTATTAGTATAGTTATCACTACATCATTCAATTACCAACAATTTCATATTCCACCAATATATGTTGTATATAAGGATGAATTATTAAACATAAAACACTATAATATTTGATTAGCAATTCCATTTGTATTTGCAAATTAAATATTAAAGTATTTTATACATCTTCAATGATTCATCTTAATGTATTATATTGTTTTTTGTGGATCGTGTTATTTTTGTTTGTAATTGTACAGATCATGTTCCATACAGATAATACATTTAAGAATAGAAAATAATCTTCTGCTATAAATTACTCATTCAATATGGCAGAGATATATTTATCTTAAATAAAAAATTATTAAAAACAAATGTAGGCTTGCATAGGTTTGTATATAGGTGGATTTTTGGAAACGATAGAATTATTTACAAAATATTTTATGCAGTAGTCTTAACAAAAAAAAAAAAACAAAAACGAAAAAAACAAAAAGAAGAAGAAGAAGAAGAAAGTTAAATTAAATTCAACATCTCGTAGAAGGATTTTCATTTATTAATTATATTCCATATACAGAGTGTTCTGTAACTTGTGGTACACGCTAGTAGGGAGTGATTTTACATGAAAAATTAAGTTGAAAATGTAAAATAAAGTCTATTCATATAAGGTTTTGTTTTCTAACTTATTTTTCTTGAAAAACAAAATCTTATATGAACATATATTATTCTATTATACATTTACGATTTAATTTTTCATGTAGAGTCATTCTCTGCTCGTTTGTACCACCAGTTACAGAACATTCTCTATATAATTGTTCACTTTTCACATATAAAATAATCATACATATTCAAAAACTCTTGACATATTATTTTTAAGTTTTATAACATAATAATTATTATTTATTTATTATATTATATTATATATATATTTAAAGTGAGAGATTTATATTTATTATGTATTATATACATAAGACTTTGATTTTCAGTATGAGAACTTCTACGTTATTAATTTGAGTACAACTATAACTCTTAATGTGTGGTATTGTGCTGTTCTCTTATGAATTTGATCAAAATAAGTAGGAGGCAGTTCGAAATAACTCTTTGCTCAGCGATAGTTGTGCGCGTGGAAGCCAACTAACTTCATTTTGGGCAACTACTTGAACCACACATATATACATACATATATTTGTTTTGTGGTTCATGTAGTTGCCTTTCCAATTCCTTTTTTCCTAATTTCATATACGATTCCTAAATTAATTTCTAACTTTTCTAGCACATTATAATAATAATATTTATTTATAKTGCTTTATAATTACATAATATACAGCTTTGTTATATCAAACGAATAGACATCATCAGTACATAGCATGATTTAATTTCATGAACATATTATTTATTTCAAAAACAAAAACTACTTGCTTTTAATAAGAAGAGATTATTATATATTATTAGTATTTTTTTTTTTTATATATATATTTATATATATATATCTCTTCCTAATTTCTATTAATTTTTTTATGCATATTTGTAATTAATGTTTGTGTTAATACTTTCGTTTTGTATGAATCATGTTTTTTGATGTTGTATTTCCTATTAATATCCTCCTTTTTCAAACATAACTGCACTAATGTTTTATTTATTAAAAATTGTGTTTTTCTGATTGTTTCTATATATGTATATTTATATAGATATATTTTTTGTTTTTTGTTTTCCTAAATATAGTTTGTCAATCCTTTTGGCCACCGATAATGTTATTTATTAAATATTAATATTTAAAAATCCAAAAATTCTCTTTAATAATAAATTAAATGGTTTATTAGATATTTGAAATCAATGATAACAATAGATGTATATGGTTGGCTTGCTGGTTGCATGGTTAATCGTATTTCTCTTGTGTGTACAAATAATAACATGCACACATACTACACTTACTATATTTCTTTTACTTTAATTTTGGCAGTGAATCTTTAATTACAAAAAAAAAAACAAATGAACAGAGATAAAATGACTAATCTTTACACTTGTTTACGCTTTAAAAAAAAAAAAAAAAGATAAATTGAAAGTATACAGAATATTATGAAATTTTAATATTTTAATCTATCGATTATTAATTAAAATTTAATATATAAAGACTGCTGCCAACAGTAAATGCTTATCTATCTTTCTTCTTTGGTGCTGGGTTTTTAATTGTCTATTTCTTTCTTTTTTCCTTCCTTTGTACCTTGTCCTAATGCAACATCATCATTTCTAATCTTAATAATAATTGAATGAACTCATATTAATATTATTTCATTTTAAATCATGTAAAAATATCTATATTAATTAAATTAAAATTGTACAAAAACAACAACCAAAAAATAAAAAAACAAAACAAAAAAATCAAAAATGAAAACGTGAAAAAAAAAAAATAAATAAAACAGAACATTCAAATCACTCTAAAAATACTTTGAATGTGCCTGTGTACCTGGGACAGCCTATAGCTTTACCGCACTCAATTAGTTCACCAGAATTACCTATTCCTTTGGTTAAAACTTCCATACCAATATCGACACCTTTGATAACTGTGCACGATATTCCTTTAGCTTCACCGACTAATTATAATCCTAAAACGATCACAAGTGCACCATCTCCAACAAAAGAATTATTATTATCAGACTTTGATAGATGCGATACGTCTCCTATGACTCAGGAACAATGTAATAAGAAGGAAACATATGGAGGTTTCTATTCAGATCTAATTCTACCTAATATTAAAGTGGACGGTGAGTCTAACGATTTTGATCCTATGTCAGAATCTCTGTCAATGGTTAATTCTTCTTCTTTATCATTGTCTTCTCATAATAATTTGTGCTCCATAGGAAAAACAATTTCGACTGTTAATTTTACAACAAATTCAGTTGACGATACTAACATTATTAAACGATCACGATCTTTATCGCCTTGTCCTACGAAATGTCTTTGCTATAATTGTAACGTTTCCGAATTGATTTTACAAAGTCGTGATCTTCCGCCATTGGAACGTTCCAATTTTCGGACATATTTTGTACGATCACTTTCGCACAAATTCTTTAATTGTTCCTGTTACACGTTGGCTAATATATGGCAAAATTTATCACCTAATGTTTCACAATGTTCTTCTTGTTACGACACCGTCTCGTCTACCGATAGTCTCGTACAAAGTTCTAGCCAATTTTTAAATCCTTCTTGTTCTTTAGTCCATTTACCATCTCAGCCTAATAATAAAATATATAAAAAGCATTACTTAATGCCCGTATCACCAGAAAAACGTACGTTTGGTTTTCAATCCCCTACTGGATCACCATTCAAGTGTAATTGCGTATTTTCACAAAGAAACTATCTGAGAAGAGATAGCCATGGTATCATGGATTTATCTATTTTCAATGATATGAAAAGAACATCAGAGGAATCTATGACTCATATATTGAGAAAATCAAACTCATGTCCAAATGTAATAACAGGATCTAGTTTAGAGTTTGTAGAATCTCATAATGATCCTCATAGTTACCTTGGAAATACTAGTTCTTCCATATCCCATTGTCCTCAGAATCGCAGGCGATATTCTTGTTCTGATACGAAAAAACAAAACGAATCACAGCACTTGACAGACAATGGTATTCTGCATGGTCATGATCACAGTAACAATAGTCACTACCATGTATCCTCTCATTGCAAATCGAATAACCACGAGCCTAAATGTCCTCGTGCACCATTTTCCCAACTCCAGCCTCAACGATCCTTCTCATCCCCAGACACACGACCTTCGATCATTCAACCTGACCCTACCTGCACAGCAAGGCGCCACCGTCACAGTATCTCCGGACAGATGAGTTATTTCAAGCTGCTGGGATATAACGTTAGCAAGAAGTTGACCGGCTCGGCAAATAGTCTCTTCAGTACTGCAGTGATTAGTGGATCTTCCAGTGCACCGAATCTTAAAGATATGATTCCGCCACATGCTATGATACCACCACACGTTGCTGGTAATTATATTATATTCATATATATATATATATATATATGAATATATATGAATATATTTCATTATTTTGAAAACAACAATTTGAGTTAATAGTATCTTTATGTGTATCTTTTATAGTTTATATTATATTTTTCCTACAGAATGTATTAGGATAAGTATTTATCAATTTTATTTTGAAATGTCAAATGTTTTAAAATATTATTTATCATTTTAAAATTAATAATTTATTTGTTCCAAATTAATTGTCACATTTGTATAAATAATTATATATCAAACGTGACAAATAACTTTGAACGAAGAGATTACTATATAATAAAATATCTAATAAAATAATTTCTTTCTTTTAATAGCAATAGAAGGCTTCGGCGGCGTTCCTCCTATAAGACCATTGGAAACACTTCATAATGCATTATCTTTACGTCAACTGGATTCTTTCCTTGAAATGATGACGGGTGCACCATTGTTTCGAACCCCTGCTTCTTCACCACCGAAATATCCGTCACCAGGAAGCTTAGTCAATCCAAGCCTTAATGTAGGAGGCATTAGTCGCGAGTACAACTCTTCTGATTTGGAAGCCGTCAGGTATTGCAAGAAATAAAGTAAAGCTCTTTTGTGAGTATTGACAAGGGCTCTACAGTTGTATAGGTTTATTAGAATTATACATTTTACAAACAGTAAAACTCAGTCTAAGTTTTACTGCTTGCACAATGGACTTATAGTTCTAATGAAACTGTGCATGAATTGCAACTGTATAGAGTTTAAAAAAAATCCATTTTGACAAAATCGTGTACGGAGCCCTTGTAAGTTGTTCTTATTATTTTATTTAACAATAAGTTATCACATATATATTTATATATTATTTAATTGCCAATTATTTTAACTTCATTTATCATTCACGTATTCAATCATAATAACACAATGTATTTCTAATATTTTAACATTATACGCACATTTGATTGCTTTTTATTGTTTTAATAAATTATGCTTTAATATATTATAATTTCTTTTTTATTTTGTTTAATACCTTTTTTTCTTTTTTTAAATTTTGTTAAATTGTAAATATATTAGCAATGAATAATTTTTTACAGATATATCACACCAACTCCGATTCAATACAAATCTTGTAGCGATGGAGATACGTGTGATATAAGAAATCAACCATCACCCACAAGTCCAAATAGTAAGTAAACATTTTTCATTATTTCGTTATTAGCTATGGGTTGTTTATGCAAAAGCCCCGTATGAATTATCGACCCATAATCCATATGAAATATACTATGTGTATACGATAACAATTGATTATTATTTTTAATGTTACATTCAGGTACAGGATGGAGCAGCGAACCACAATCGTTCCTTTCCTCCGAACCATCATCTCCTGCACCAACATCAACAGGAGAGTGCAGTATGTCTATAAGTTTAATTAGTAACGATGGGTAAGAGTACATACAATTATATTTAAAATATCAAACGTAATTTTATATACACGTAGAATTTATTATAAATATATTTAGAGCACCATCGTTCAGTGGAGCACCAAAGTTTCCCACAACTCCAGGTCTTGATCTTGATTTTAATGATTTTTGTATGAACATCGATCAAGAAAATCACGAAGGTCGTGGTAGCGTATCATACACAGATTATTATAGCAACGAGGACGGTCAAATTCTTAAAAACTCATCTTATTCGAGTCCTGCTCAAAAAACGGTAGTCTCGTCGGATGATCTTCCCATTGATCCGGTTGACGATGACGAAGAACACACGTTAACATTGCGTCAAACTGAGGCACAGAAAAAGCAGGATGTTAAATTGTTATTTGAACAAGCAGAAAATTCTAATACGACTAAATCAACTGTTGGTTATAAAAAAATAGGAAGGTAAATATTAATGTAATCATTCCAATTCATAAAAATGTTAGATGTTGCAAGTGATTTATATACTTTTGAAAGTATCCTGACTCTCAGAAAATGCACAGATAAGAAAACAATTATTTGTTCTTGTAAAAATTTAATTGTTACTGTTGAATTTGTTCTTTTATCTTTTTAAATTTATAGATTTCGCGTTGAGAGTATGGAAATATCGGACGACGATGTTAGAATCAAAGAGACTGGCAGTGTATGTTCATCTTCGGATAAGAATAAATCATTAACGTTGCCAAAAGTGGAAACTGCTAACGTGGAGAGAGGACCAACTCACAGAAGTAAAGAGACAAGGCACAAAAGGAAGCATTTTTTACGATCTCAAAGCGTATCGACGCCAAAAACGATCGTTGTTAAATCAGAAACTAATTTCAGTTTTAAATCTGTCAAATCAAAAGAAAGTTCTTTCTCAACAATGACGGATAAAGATTTAGAGCAATGGAAATTGAGTACGAGCAAGCAGCAGGAAGATTCTTCTACCTCATGTACAGAAACTGAAAAAGAACCGATATTAACTGTGGCAAGCAGTTTAACAGATAGTCCTAGCGTAACAATTGGATTTGACGTACAAGATGAAGAAAAAGAATAGAGTTCTTCTTTCCAATTGATATTTTTTCTTATTAATAAGAAAAAAGAAAGTTTTCTAGATAATATATAAAGTGTGATTATATTTTATTGTTAGATTCTACGTATATTTTTAAAATGACCATATACGCGTGTTTTAGTAGGTTTTAATAATTTTTAAATAGAATTTGTGTTATCACAACGAACGGATACTGTTATTTCATGAACAAGTTTTTTTGTCTCGATTTTAAATTAATGAATTTTTAAATATACCGTGCAAAATGTAAAAGTAATGAAATATCATCTAATTGCACCAATAATAACTTAGGTAAATGATCGTATAGAAATAATCGTATATATATATATATATATCTAATAATCTCATGAGATAAAAAAATCTTAATTTAAATTTATAAAAACGATTCCATAAGTATGTGATAATTATAGACTCAATTTTAGATATCGTGCGTGTTTAAATTCTATGTTGCATTAGTAGAATGACCAGTAATTGATTAATGCGAAAATATTCAAATACAGAATCTCAACTATTTCTATAAGCTTTAAATATATACAAAAGAAAAGAAAAAATATATTAATTCACGATTATTTTCTCGTATGCGTATTTACAAATATTTTTGTAGAATGTAAAAATCCTTGTGCGCGCAAATGCTTGTAGTAGTAATAATATTTTTTTTCTCGATATCTTGTTACTTATCTTTTTTTTTCTTTTGTGGTAACAGGATATAAATTTCCATATTAAGTGAGATAAATTTAAAATAATGGCGCGAGAGAAAGAGAGAGACAGAGAGAGAGAGAGAGAGATATATATGTGAAATAAAATATTTTTATTATGAATGTTTTATTGCTATAATGTAAAGTACAAGGATTAGATAGTATAAAATATATATGTACTTAAACATATATTTAAAACTATGCAAATATGGGGATAGTAAAAGCAGTACAGTACTTAATACGTACAAGAAAATATCTGTGATTAGATAGTATGGAATTGATTTAATTGTGTATAAATATTAAAAGCGATTGTATAAATTTTCACTATTTTATTTTTCTCGATCGAATATTACATCGAGTTATATACATATATCTATTATATGTAATAGTTAAATTATAATATGTAATGGCGCTGACAATTGAATTTTACTTTAAATGATGACAAATATTATTTGATTATTATTTCTAATTAAAATTGTAATTTATATTTAATACTTACATTTGTTCTATTTTAAAAAAAAAAAGCTTAAAATTATTTTAAAATAATGAGATTTATTTTAAACAAAGTAAAATAGAAACGATCTCGATATTAACATAAAACACATACATAAATTGTTATGATAATCTTGAACAATTAATCAAATTAAATATACATTAGAAGAGAAGACAGATGATGGTAAAACAACTTTAATTGCATAGTATGAGATTTTTGTATAGATGTATAATGAATAATAAAATATACTTAAAAAATATTCTAAGATATGCATGGCATTTACTTAAATAAATACAAATTTATATATATATATATATATATATATATATTTATTTATTAAACAATTATCAATTATTTATTTAATAATTATAAAAATGCTGCGCCTGTAGGTATGCAACCCTCCAGACGCACATGAAAATGTTGCTTGCGAGCGCCATCTATTGGGACGGAATTTTTTTCAATTCAAACTGTTTATACACCGCTGTATTACGGGTTGCCTATATTTCGAGTGGAATATGTGCTGCCATCTAGCAGTAGTAGCTATTATTTCATATTACCGATCGGTATAATATGTTTCGCCATCTAGCGGTACTAGCTATTACTTCATCTTACCGACAGGTAGAATATGTGTCGCCATCTAGTGTTATTAGCTATTATCAATGAGCATTGACTTTTCGTAGACTCATGCATTGACGAATTTCTTCGTAGTTCGTAGATTTTCAAAAATTGAAAAAAAAATTTTCGTGCATTCGATCATTGACTGAACTTTTCGTAGACTCGTTCATTGACGAATTTCTTCGTAGTTGATTGATTTTTAAAAATTGAAAAACCTTTTTGTCTTACATATTCGTGCATTGACTTAACTTTTCGTAGACTCGTGCATTGATTAAATTTTTGTTATTACACTCTTACATTGATTGAATTTTTGCGTAGACTCGTAAATTGAAATAAGAAACAAAATCTACGAAATATTTTCCTGAATTGAAAAGTAATTCTAATAAAATCTAAATCGGGATATATTTAAGTAAAAGTATAACGAAAATTTGGCATTGATGTCTCGTCCTATTTAACTAGACGCTGTGACAAATCTATGTAATAAGCGTCGAAACGGCAAAACCCCCGTGACAAAATCGCATAATTTCGTACAGAGGCGTGACCCCTTTTTGCGGGGTTTACCCTCGCCATTGTTATAGTTGCAAGAAAATCAGATCAAAAGAACACGTGCACTGCGGGGAATCCTTGTACGATTGTCCTTTCACCTCGTTTACATCATCCCTTATGTCTGTCCTGATTTATCCGAATTTTTTCATTGTCGGGGTGTTGCCCAGTAATAATCTTCTAATATCCAGTTACATACTAAATACTTTATTCCAATTGTTTCCATTTTTTTCTTCTTTTTTTTTTTTTTTTTTTAAATATAGACCAATATTTTAATCAAATATCTAAATTTGTGTCTATCAATTTTATTTAACAAATTATAATTTAAACATAACTGTAAAATTTTATTATTATAATATACAACATGGATTTAATTTAGCAATTACTTCTTGCAAACTGCATTATATGATTTAATTGAATTATAACAAATAAATAATGCATAACAATAAAAAGCAAAGTAAAATGTACATTTGGTTTAATTTATTTTATAATAATAAATAAATAATTAACATATAATAATTATAATTATACAACACGTACACATATAATTATATTATAAACTACTTTATAATTTAATATATAATATAATATAATTTATAATCATTTAATTACATTATTATTTGTTCGTGAAAATATATATATATATTTCTATTTAAATTGATACAACTTTTAGAAAAATGAAAAGAGAGAGAGAGAGAGAGAAAGAGAGAGAGAGAGAGAGAGAGAGGGAAAGAGAGTGTATGTTTAAAGTTTAGGTAATGCGATTGGTAAATGTTGAAAGAATGTTGAAGCTTTGATATTTGAGGAAACGTTTGCCATCGTTTGTTCTAGAAAATCACATCAGAATTCTGATCGAGGCATTTCGGCGCCGACGCTTCTAGCATTGATCCAAAGCGTCAGCTTGTAGTTATGGATATAGTTCATATTACCAGGGCCGACGTTGAAGACGTTTTGAACCCTGTTCAAACACATTATTATCTATAATCTCCCGTTCATATTTTATTTGTTAATATAACAATTATTTATTTATTTAAATTAAATCACACTCAAATATATTAAATCTTAAATAATATTTTTAAAAATTTCAAATGACATTTTCGCACAAATCAAAACAACTGTTATTAATTAAAATATTACATTAAATGTCAAATAATTTTTTTACAATAACAATTATTTATTTATTATTACATTTAAATAACATTATAATATATATATATATATATCACATTTTAAATCTTATTTTTGAATTTTAAAATATAACTCAAGCAAATCAAAACAAACGGTTATTAATTAAAACGGTATATTAAATGTCATCTTAAAAGTTTGTTTAATATAAATGTAGTTAGTTATTTAGAAAGAAGAAAAAAAAAACCACAAAAAAAAAAATTGTTAATTATATGCACCCCTTGTTCTTCTAAGAAAAGCACCACAAGCACTTTCCAAGCTAACGCAATTCGATACAGCAAAATGGGTTCGCCATGTTTATACATATTGCAAAAGGGACTCACGTCAAGTGAGTCCGCTAATATCTATTTAATTAATTCCTTAGGATATTCCCCCTTTTGTGACTTCGAAGAGATCGACGGTGACTCGATCGTTATTCGACAACAATATGTTCCATTGCCCTCTCTTTACCATCAAACATCCCCTTTCGAAAAATGACGAAGGTTGCACGTGCTTGACGTGCGGCCCTTCAAGAAGTTCATCCGTTTGTTAAATCGTCCTGTTATCGCATTATCCGCGTAAACTAAACTGACGACTGTCAATTTAACGATTAGAACGAATTACAATTTATTCTAAACATTGTATCATTTATTTATTTTCTTATTGTTAATATATTATTAGATCATTAAATATGAAATGTCTCATTTTTACATGAAAATAATCCGAGTAATCAGACATTTCATAGTTAATAATCTAATATATAAACGCTTATATTATATAATTACTATATATTATATAAATATTACATATTATTATATATATATAATATATTTAGTAGTTTATAATATATTAAAGTATTATATATATAGTAATATATAGTAAATAGTACACTAAATATATAGTAATAATATTAAAATATTATATATAAAGTAACTATTATATAATATATTATTTAAGTAAATTAATAGTATATTAATTTAAGTAATACTTTATATTAATTATAAAATAGTTTATAATATTATATGTTAATTATTTATTTGTAATATATGTTAATTGTTATAATTCAATTAAATCATATAATGCAGTTTGCAAGAAGTAATTGCTAAATTAAATCCATCTTGTATATTATAATAATAAAATTTTAAAATTAACAGTGTTTAAAATTATACAGTTATAATTATTTTATTTAAAAAATTCATCTCTACATTATAAAGAACTTTATAAATATATTAACTGTATTATACATTGAGTATATTATATAAAATATTTAATATGAAATCTATTTATATATATATATATACTTAGATCTATTTTCTGGTAGAAAAGATTTTAAAGGGACGCACGTGACCATACATGGTGTCAATAAAAGGATTACACTCGTTCACTTGGAATACTTCAACATTAATCGGTTTATAATAAATCCTATTATAATTTTATATACAAAGTGTCTGAGATTTTTTGGAAAGATCAAACAATGTCAGAATATTTTATGTTCGAAAATAAAACAAAAAAGATGATATAAATACAAGTTATTTCAAATTTTAAACTCTAATAGGAATAATTAATTAATTAATTAATTAATTATCAATATATAAACAATATAAACAATCTTTGACAAATTATCGTCCATCTTAGTAACAATATTTTATTTCAATCGATCGATATTTCCTTTAATCGTTGTTTCTTCCAGACCAAAAATTCTTCGATTTCATTGTCCTAAAGAAAGGGTGGAGAGGGGGTGGGGTGGGTGGAGGGGGGGGGAGAGGAAGAAAATTAATAATCATCATAATAATAATAGACACGCCTATTATCCTGCTACTAACCAATAACAAACTTCAAGCTCGATTTCAAAGGAACATTGTTCTCCAATAAGAAAATTGATCTGTCACGCAAGCGTCAGTTTTGAACCAATCAACTTACATCCCGCTCATAGTTAAACCACGCCCATTGCTATGGTTTCAAAGGACATAGAATTATACGTCCTGGACAAGGATGTTATTTCACAGTTTTCGGATATAACGTGACAGGAGGCACTCGTGAATTTGGTGACGGAACACCAAACGAAGTTTCCATTTTCGTAGCTAAACGATTCTAATATTGTTGACGATCTAACATTTCTATCGGTCCTTTTTTTTTCTCACCCCCCAATTACCCCAATTACCCCAATTACTTTCCTAACGCTTAATTATCAATCACACGGTTTATTTTTTGAGGATAAGAGCTAGTGGGATATGAGCTACACCGAACCGTTGTGGGAGATAAATGGAAATCAAGCACAAGTGAGTGAAATATTTTTCAATTGTGTTCGTTTTTTAATTTTTTTTCTTTTTTCTTTTTTTTCTTTACATTCATTTACATCAATGTTATCTCTTCTTTTTTGTATTAACACATTTGCGACCGCTGACGTGAATTCACGTCTTTTTAAGTTCTATTCCTAATTGCCGCTGACGTGATTCACGTCATTATACATTTTAAAAATTTTTTATAAATATTAATTTATATATTATATATATTTGTACATATATATATAAATTAAAAAATTTATATTATTTTATAATTATTATTATTTTTTTATTATTTTATTATTACTTTATTAATATTTTATGTATATACATAGATATATATATATATAAAGTTTATATTTACATATTTATAAAAATTGTTTATATTAAATTTATATTTAATTACTTAAATATAATAATTAAATATTATATATTATATATTATTATATTATTATATTATTATATTATTATATTATTTAAATATATATATATATAATATTAAGTATAACATTTAAATATAATATTCAAATAATTCCATTTTATTATATTATTATATTTTATGATTTAAATATAAATATAAATAATTTAAACTTATATTTATATATTTATATATAGAATATATGTACAAATTATTGTTTTTTTTCTTTTTTTTTTCAAAATTTCATTATTTTTGCCCCGGTACTTAGTATTAGAAATGGAAAAAATATGTCGGCCGCAAATGCGTTAATGAAAAATTACATTTCAAATATATTTGTACATTTAATATTCTATTTTATTTACAATTATATTCATCCAATAAATGGATAAAGGAAATTATTTGTAATACAAGAATGTCAGGATTGTTCTTTTCATTTTCTTCGTTATCAAAGTGTCAATAAAAATCAAGAATATAGAAAAAGGGAAATTATAGAATCTTATTTTGTCTATAAACACCATAGGTAATTACACAGGAAATGTCACAGTACGTTGGTACCGAACTTGGAAGTTATCCGATGTGGGACAGTTCCGTTTTGTATCAGCCACCACCGGCTACTCATTCTCATGTCAATGAACACGGTTTGTACAGGCAACCCTGTGCTTTGTTACATCAAAGGTATTTATCATTTATTTTATTTTATAATTACGTAGAAACATTCAATGTGTACCATGCTTTTTATTTTTTTATTTTTCATCATACTATATTATCTTTGAGATAAAAAAATCATTACAAATTGTCACACGATACAACGATATACATATATATTTAGTCGTTATACACAAAATGGCCGCTCAGCGAATCTTCCCTCGTCTACTACGAAAAAACCAAGACGCAGAGTTGCAACAGTTTCTCAAAGAAGAGCCGCTAATATTCGTGAAAGGCGTAGAATGTTCAATTTAAACGAAGCCTTCGACAAATTACGAAGAAAGGTAATTACAATTCTTTTTTATTATACATTTTGTGATCTTTCCTTGTGTATTAAAAAATAAAATGTCGTATGTATGAACAATTCATTGAAAAAAAAAAAGAATAAAAAATCACATACACACATACAGGTGCCAACGTTCGCTTATGAAAAACGTTTATCAAGAATCGAAACACTTCGTTTGGCAATCACTTACATTGCATTCATGGGAGAATTATTAGGAATCGAACCCACCAGTCCAAAACCAGAATATATACCACGTGAATATTATTTGCCTAATTAAAAATCATCCAATGGCTAAGAACAAACATGTCTTCCAAATCGATCTCATTATTTTTTCTTCTCTTACATGAATTTTAATATAAAACTAATTGTTATTCATTTTTATATGTATCATTTGATTGAATAATTTTCTTGAATTTTAATCGATGAACACACCCGACTAATAAATATTTCCAAAATTTAATTTAAAATATAGACCGTTTATTTTTAAAAACTGGTGCAAGTCCACTTTATCTCGTTTCAACAAAAATTCAACATTTTCATATCAATGGAACAAACTCAATTTCTTTTACCGATCAATTTTAAATTGTACAAAACACATGGACACTTTTTAAGAAATTAAATATTAATCAGTTATCCACATCAAAAGTTTACATTAAATTAAGCATAATTTTACGTGATATCTTTTTTGTTTTTTGTTTTGTTTTTTTTTTTTATTAACTTAAATGGACTTGCAACACTTTCAAAATAAACGGTCCATATTTTCCTTGACAAAAATCATATCGATCTATTAGAAATTTATATCGAACAAAATCTATTTAATCTTCTATTACCAATAATTATAATAATAATAATAATAATAATAATAATAATAATATATTAAATATTGTACAGGAATTTAAAAAGAAAAGAAAAAAAAAAAAGAACAAAAACACAAATGAAGAACAAAGTAATTTTCTCAATTTTCTGCAGTGCATAAACATAATTATTATGCTATACTGATAAAGAAGCGGGTACAAACGTAGTGTTAATGAAATTTAAATGATAAAAAAAATGACGAAAGGAAAAGAGATGGTTAAAAAAAAAAAAAAAGAAAAAAAAGAAAGAAAGAAAGAGAGAGAGAGAGAGAGAGAGAGAGAGAGAAAGAGAGAGGATTTAATTAAAGATGTTAATTTTATATATTTGTGTGTAAAATATTTCTACAAATTTCTCATTAATTCATCTAATTTATTTATTTTAATATTTATCTAAATGAAATATGCAAAAGTAAAAAAACGAGTCAATAGTTCTCATTTTCTTTTTATTTTTTTTTTTATTTTTTAAATAGAAATTAATATTAACAACGAAGTATTATAAACTCGAGAACCTATGTCTTCCATATTTCAGGTAAATGTGATATATATATAATGTAATGTATTATATTATTAAAATTAATAACAATGTGAGAGATAACATCGAAACAAGTGAAACGTTCATGAGAATTTTTTAAAATTCTAAAAAAAAAAAAAAAAGACAAATGTTACGTGCAACTTGTTTTTCATGCTGTCCTATTATAAAATTATAATGTGTTATAATAATATGTAAGAAATAATTATAAAAATAAATTTGATTATCTATGAGAAAGTAAATTTACATAGAGACGAAATGTGTGAGAAAAAAAGACAATGAAGTTTTTATGTTAATTATTTCGAATTATTGTGCAATAATAATAATAATAATAATAATAATAATAATAATAATAATAATAAATCAAAAACTCTCTCTTATAACCACACGTAGTATTTTGTTTCTTTTCTTTATCTTCCTTTTAAAACAAATATAAATTTGTATAGGATTTTCATACTATACAAGTGTTCATATTCTGAATTTTTAAATGTAATTGAATAAGATTATATTTTATTGCAAGATATTCAATTAGTTTATTGTATTGTATAAATAAATCACAAAAGTATGTAGATATATCGTAGATTATAATTACAAGTGGCAATAGCGTCACGTATACAATAATGTTAAGCAAGTGTGTGCAATTATTAAGTGAAAAAGTTCCTAATCTTTTCAATTCTTATAATCTAATCGAATTTCTAATTAAATTTTACAAAAAGTATAGAAAAATGTTAAACTACATATTCTTTTCTTTTTTTTTTTTTTGATATAAGATATGATTGATTAATGTAAATTGATAAAAAAAAAAAAAAACGCAATTTCGATCATTTCCTTACGTGTTAGTTGCTTAAAGTAATAATTTTTCTTACAATGTAAATGTCAATGGTCTTACGTTACAAATAAATAACAAAAGTACTTCTCCTTTTTTTTTTTACAATCTTATTAATCATTAATATTAAAATAAATAAAATAAAAGTCAAATTAATAAAAATAAAGAAACTACGCGTGAATTAATTACAAAGAAATACAAAAATTGAATAAGAAGAAGAAGAAGAAGACTTTTTGATAACTTGATCAACGAGTTTAATAAAATCAACTCAAAGTAATGCTTATTGTTTAATAATTACACGTGTAAGTACGTTTCTCACGTTTATCAAACAAAACTTTGAATGATCTTCTTTCCTTATTATTATGTTAACATTGAAAAAGTTTCATACAAGAAACCGAGATTAATATTTTGTTCAGATTTCTTTTTCTTCTTTGAAATAATACTTATGATATATCCAAGTATAGTTATGAATCAAATTATTCATTATTTCATTTATTTTTGACATGATCGATAGCCAGATGATGAACAACAACATCGCCTGATATTCGTAAGGTATCAATAATGGATGGTTTTAATCTGTGTTTAAATTCGGTTACCATTTTGTTACCCAACCATATTGAAAAGCCTTCATGCTCGCAGCGTATACTAACACACAAGACAAAAAATAATGAATAACATTAATAAATTTGTTAGAAAAAATATGTAAGTAATAAATGTTTTTTGAAGACTTTGTAGACAAATTTTTGTTACAGTAGACAAAATAATTTCAAATAAAAATGATGATATTTACGTTAGTAAAAAGTCACGGCCTGGCATCCAAGCTAAATGACCTTCGTGTCTTTCCTCGTTTCTCCAACAACCATCTACCCAACAATTCATGACAACGAAAGGTTCTTTACTACCGTAAAGAAAACGTGGATTTACATGCAAGGCGATTATTGGATGAGGATAAATAGTATCCCCTTTTTGTAAGTTTATATAAAATCTGTAAGTAAACAAATTATAGTAGATATATTAATATAATGAACAAAATATTGATGCATATATTAATAATCATTCAAACTTACGAATGTGGAAGTAATTTTAATCTTCCTCTGATAAATAAATTGGTACCGAGTTTGAATTCACAACCGATTCTTACATTGATCGGAACTTCCTAAGTTTAATAGATTGTTCTTTTTTAATGAATTATTTTAATACAATTGTTATATTAAAAAAGATATATGTTTAGTCCTTACAAGAAATTCTACGAGAGGGTTGTCTTCTGTCAAAACAAGCGGAGGTGAAGATTTAAAAATCTTTGGGTCGGGATAAACCTGAAGATTTGTTTGATTGAATTTTATATCTTCAAAATGTCCGTCGCATTGAAGATAGCTAATATCGCTAAGTGGAAACCTATATGTAAAGGCACAAAAATGTTCACCATTGACTGCTATCTGTAAACAAAAATATTAAATATATAATATCAAATATCTTTATCATAACAAAATAATAATATAAAATTTGAGTAAACATTTAATAACCTGAAATGCATCTTCCGTGCAAAATATCGTCAAATGGATATAAGAGTTTCGACAAAATATATAATTGCATGGTCCAACTGGAGAACAAGTTTCTTCAAGTTCCCAGGTACCTTTCATTTTTGTATTTCTTACAACATAGCCTCTATCTATTCTTGGATTGAAATGCAACGCTATGTTACCGTTCAGTTTACAATTTAAATTTATTGCAAATCTGTCACATAAAAAAGAAATTGTATTATTTTATATATATTTTTTTTTTAAAACCTTGATGTTACCTTAATGACATGACCATATAAAGGTCATATAGGATTAAAATATATATATCAATAATATTTAATAACATTTTTATTGATAATACCTTATCGCATGAACGGGAATGTATCCTGTTATAATAATAGCAGATGTTGGTTTTAATGGTTGCAATATAAGAGGCTTTGCTTGTTCCTAAAAAATATAAAATATAAAACATGTAAAATGAATTGTTTATATATACATATATTTTCTCTGTTCTTTTTTTCTTACATAAAAAGCTGTCAATGTTGGAATAACAATTCTAGGCATTTGCTTGTAATATTATTTTACATTATATACACTTTTTCTTCTGCCTCCGATACGTTCCATTTTTCGTTTACTTTCATTAATTCAATCACATTATTTCCTTTTATCACACAAAAAAAAACAATTTAATCAATTCTTCTTCTTCTTCTTCTTCTTCTTCTTTTCAACGTTCTGACTTTCTTTTTTTCATTATAATAAAATCATTTAATTATGTTTAAAAGTTAAATTCTATTAAAAGTTTGCTTATAACCCACGCGTATTCTCTTTTGAAATGAGATCATCGATATATCGATGTTCGATTAATCGTGTTAATTCATTTATCGATATTAGTAAAACATTGATTTACCGACAGGTAAGTAGAGAACGACGAACAGTCGACATCTAGCGGATAAAAATTGTAATCACTACCCACATTTCGAAGGCAGAAGAAAATTTGTTTATATATATAGATATAGATATATATATATATTTATGTACATAGATAATAGAAAGATATTTCGTTGGTTTAGTAGTGTAGGAGACTATACTTGCTATCAGTCGAATATTTTTATTTACGGTATACTATCGTATATTTAAATGATGAATAATAACTTACGATTGGTATGCTCTTCTCGTCGAAAAAAGAGAAATCCTTGAAAGCATCTTCTTTGGTGTGTTTAAAAATACAATCGTTGGACATTTTCTTGTTATCTTTTTTACGTTTATCACAGAATTAATAATATTCGAATGTGATGCAATGGTGTAATTAATTTAAAATGTTAATAGTATTTTTATAAAAGTCTTTTCCATACGAATATGGTAAATAAAAGAATATCTTACAAGAAAAGAAAAAGTACTGAATAATTTAAATAAAGATAATTTGTGTATAATATCTTTGTATCTATTTCGAAAGCTGGTAAAATTAATCCCGCGTCTAGTATCAGTGTATTAGTGACATGTTTTTAAAATGTTGACGTTTCGAATTTTTCGTAATGATTCGTGCGAATTTGACTGATTCATTGCGTAATTTCAATATGAAACATCACCACTACATACTACCGTATGTTAGCTCGAATACGTGCTTATGTGTACTACTTGATGATCTCAATTTATAAATAGATATTTTATCCGAAAAGACAAGCTTATGACTCTTAACAAGCTACCTTGCCTATCTCTTTATTTATCTTATTAAAAATTGTTTCTCAATCTACTTGCAAAATAAAAAGAATCTAATTTATCTAATGTATATTTTTTTTCTCGGATCATCTTATCTCAGATATTTATTTTCATTATCTTTTTTCACCGTTTTCCATTTAAATCTGCGACGCTATTGGTTGTACCGCGCGATCGATTTTTAGCGCGTAATTTGAATCGAATTTAAAACGAGTGTTCTTTTTTTTCGTCGTATTGTTAGTTTTTTTTTTTTTTTTTAATATATTTATTTCAAATGACAATTATAGAGGAGAATATAATATACTTTTTTTTGTCTTATAATAAATAAAATAATAATATCTAATATGTAGATATTAATTATTATATATATATATATATATATATATAATATAATTTTTATTTTTATTTAATCGGCACCGGTTTTCTCTCTCTCTCTCTATTGTATTTTATAAAATATATACACATGGCTTTATAATTAATAATAGCACTTAAAATATTAGTGTAAAGATTAATTAACGACCTGCAATAAAATATTAATCAATTTTGAGATGTGTTACGAGTACAATGAAAATACTTTTTCTTTCTTTCTGCTATCCATTATTTAAATATTGTAACATTTTATATTATTTCACAATCACTTTTTTGACAATAATATTAATTAATAATTTGTATTATTTTTATAATTTTTTTTTTTTATTATTGAAACGTTTCCATTTAACATTCTCGTATTTTTTTTTTTTTTTTTCATTTTATGACTAGGAACATTTTAAAAGTTTGTCATTCACAGCGAAGAACATGAAATTACAAATATATCTATATATTATTACACAACATGAAATATATCAATTAAGAACAATGTAAAAGTTTACATCGTACCGATACGAATAAAAGTACACAACAAAACTATAATATTAAAATAATGTTTTCTTAATATTAAAGCAAAAACACGCGTACAATTAATTTCATTTTTTTGCTCTGAAAATAATTAATTAAAGATGAGATTACGTGAAAATCATTTCTTAGTCAACCTTTCTTTGAGTATTTTAGACAGCAGGCAGTAGCTCAGTAAAAATAAATTTAGTTATAGAAAAATATATATTTTTATCTGTTGGTGATATATATGTGTAGGTAATTTTTTTTTTTTTTGATAAACAAGTCATTGACCTTTCTTTCAATAGATTTTCATCAGATTCGAATATAGATTTTTGTCTAATAATAATGATATTTTTCATAATTAGAGATTTGACAGTCTTGTAGTTATTCATAATGCAAAAGAATTTATATTATTGTAATTAGATTTGTATAATGTGTGTCCGTTTGTGTATTAAGTATTAATTATTGCACATTGTTATTTTTATCTTTCCAAATAATTGATCGTGCCATTTTTTTCCTCGACAATTTGAAGGGAAAACTTACATTTTATTGTCTCTATCATGAAAGATATTATTTCTATTGACTTTGTCATATCGCAGAAGATAAAATACAGAAGAAATTATAGAACCCTTATTATATAAATAATCGATGATTATATCAAACGAATTTTTTAGATATCACGTGGTTCATGGGGATCAGGCAATTTCTGCCAGTTCGGTTCAACGCCCCAAATTTCACGTGCATATTCGGCAATCGTTCGATCGGAAGAGAATTTTCCTGAGGATGCTATATTATGTATCGCCATCTCTACCCATTTGTTTTCATCCTAAAATAATATTCATTTTAATCCTAATGTCCCATAACGGATTATTGAAAATATTCAAATGATTCATTTCAATTACCTGATACACTTCACTGACGTGTTCCTGCATACGAATATAACTTTCGTAATCTGCTAAAAGATAAAATCTATCCCATTTAAGCAAAACATCGGCAATATCTCGAAATTCGTCTGGATTATTAGGACTGAAGAAACCTCCTTGAATTTGATCAATACATTGTTTTGCTTCTGGTAATTTGTTGTAATAAGAATAAGCATCATAGCCTCTTCTTTTTAAGGCTTCAACTTCTTCAACAGTCATACCAAATATGAATATATTTTCATTTCCCATTTCTTCTGCCATTTCTACGTTTGCACCATCCAAAGTACCAATTGTAAGAGCACCATTTAACTAAAATATTAAATATTTCATTGTTGTTTCATTTAGTAAATTGAATATATATATATATATATGTACATAATATTGAGATGAATTGATTATTACCATAAACTTCATATTTCCAGTTCCCGAAGCTTCAGTACCAGCTGTAGAAATTTGTTCGCTCAAATCCGCGGCTGGAATAATTTTTTCAGCCAAAGTAACTCTATAATTTTCTAAATAAATCAATTTCAATTTATTTCCTACGATGGGATCGTTATTGATAACATTTCCAACGCTGCAGATTAGTTTAATTATTTTTTTAGCTAGATGATAACCCGGTGCAGCTTTTCCACCGATCAAAACAGTACGTGGCACGAACGGTGCCGATGGATCTCTCTTTATACGATTGTACAACGTGATAACATGAAGACAATTTAACAATTGTCGTTTGTATTCGTGTATACGTTTCACCTAAACATTATTTCATAAGGTTTATTAATAAATTCAAGGATTTAATATAATATAATATAATATAATGTAATAAAAATTGTCATTGTATTGTTACCTGAATATCAAAAATTGATGCAGGATTTATTTTGACACCGTAATCTTTTTCTAACATTTGTGCCAAGCGTAATTTATTTTCTTGTTTAACTTTAACTATTGCTCGTTGGAAGATCGGATCCTTGGCATATTGTTTGAGTTGTTTCAATTGTTCCAAATGTACAACCCAATCGCTACCTATTTTCTATTAATTTCGTAACAGAGACCAAAATTATAGTACATTTGTATTTGATTATAATAAAAAAAGAAAAAGAAAACATACTTCTTCGATAATATCAGATAAATTAGGATTGCAAAGAAGTAACCACCTCCTAGGAGTAATACCATTGGTTTTATTTTGGAATTTTTCTGGATCCAATTCATAGAAATCTTTAAATCTGTTTGCAAAAACAAATCATTATAAGCACGATTGCTTATTATTTTTCTATTATTTGAAAAATGATTGAATAAATCCATTATTAAGTACTTACACTGTTTCTTTCAAAATTTCTGAATGTATCCATGCAACACCATTGATGGCATGACTACCGACAATAGACAAATGTGCCATGTTCACCCGTTTTTCACCTTCCTCCTCAATCAAAGACATACGACGAAGACGATCCATATCACCGGGAAATTTGGCAGAGACTCTTTCAAGGTGTAAATGATTAATATGATAAATGATTTGCAAGTGCCGTGGAAGAATACTTTCTAACAGACTAGTCGGCCATCTTTCAAGTGCTTCTGGTAAAACTGTGTGATTTGTGTATGCACATGTTCGAGTTGTTATATTCCAAGCCTTAAAATAAGAAATTTCATATATAATAAATAATATCAATTCTTTCTAATACAATATATTGTTCAATAAATTACAAATGATTTACCTGATCCCATGAAAGGCCTTCAACGTCGATTAGAATTCTCATAAGTTCAGGAATAGCTAACGAAGGATGAGTATCATTCAATTGAATTGCTACTTTATCAGGGAAAGCATCCAAATCGGTTCTATAATGTTCCTTAGATCCAAACTTGCTAGCTTTGTAACGACGAATAATATCTTGAAGTGTAGCAGCTACCATGAAATATTCTTGTTTCAATCTTAATTCTTTTCCTTCGAAGAAATTATCATTTGGATATAAAACTCGACTTATATTTTCTGCCAAGTTACGATCGATGACTGCTTGAATGTAATCACCGTCGTTGACTGAAAAAAAAACAAAAAAGAAAACAAATAAACGTAATTGATAATAGAAATTACATGACATCATTTTTCAAGTGAAAATAAAAATTATTTACAGAATTTCAAATTGAATTCAATCGGTGATTTAGCAGACCATAGTCTCAACGTATTAACCACGTTGTTTTTATATCCAGGAATTGGATTATCATAAGGCATAGCAAACACGACCTATATAAATAAATATATAAATATTAATTATACAGTATCATGTGAAATAATTAATGATACGTACTTGCGTGTTCACCCATTTCTTGCCTTCAGGAGTGTCAATAACGTGGCCATAGAAATTAACAGGTAACATAAATTCAGGTCTTGCTTTTTCCCAAGGATTACCATATCTCAACCAATCGTCTGGTTCTTCAACTTGTTCTCCGTTCTTAATTTTTTGCGCAAAAATACCATACTCGTATCGTATTCCATAACCGTATGCAGCTAAACCTAAAGTAGCCATGCTATCTAAGAAACAAGCTGCTAATCTTCCTAATCCACCATTTCCAAGACCAGCATCCTCCTCTAATTCTTCTAATTCTTCTATATCCAAACCCATCTGTAAAATATTATTAATTACAATATTATAAATACAAAAAGTATTATAATAAATATATAGTTAATTATAAATATATAAATATATATATATATAAAATAATATTAAAAGATGTATTAGTAAAACTTGTATTAGTTCAAATAAATTTATAAATAAAAATAAAAAAATAAAAAAAATATAATTATTTATTTAAACAAAATACTCGCCTGATACATAGCTTCGTCGCACGCACCCTGAATTCCCAGATTGATCATCGTATTTTGCAATGCCCTTCCCATGTAATACTCGAGAGAAAGATAATATACTCTCTAAAAATCAAAAATAATATTTCAGATCAATAAATTCGTTATCATCACTCAAAGATCTTTCTCGACTTATATAATAAATTACGATAGTTTCTTTAAGTGTGATAAATACATTTAATGATAAATATATAATAACGTTTAATAATATATGTATCAATTGAAAATGAATTTTAAAGTCAATTTAAATCATCTATAATAATGATCAGTAATTAGTTACTTTGGAAAACAAGGACATTCGATACGATAGATCACGCATGTGTCTCCTGACTTACTCAAGGTCATGTCAAAGTCATTCATCGAACAAACACACCCGCGATACTCCTCTATTTTTTTGATTATTCAAATAATATCGTAGACATCATTTTCTTTTTATTATTACTAACATGAACAATTTGTGCATATGTTTTTTTTTTCTTTCTTTTTTTTTTTTTTACGAAATAATTATAAGACAAAATTTTGGACACGTGATAGGACTAAAATAAAAAATGCTATAACATAGGATAAAAATAAATTGATCTTTCGTATTAGGTCACTAACCGATTTGAAAATATAATACAAAAATATTCTTATCATCATAAATATATATATATATATATATTATTTCTGCCCTCATAACAAAAAAAAAAAAAATAAAAAATGTAATAATCTTTAATGTTTTTATTTAACAAAGTATATACTGAAAAATATCATTGAAAAAGTTTTCCTCTGGTAAAAAAAAAAAAAAAGAAAAAGAAAAAAAACTCATATTCGTTAGACGTACGAATTATTTTCGTAACTCGATTTTATTCATCGTCGTTTATTTTTTATTTTTTATTTTTCTTTATTCTTCTTCCTTTTCTTTTTCATTTAAACGAGCTAAATAACACATTATACGATATCTTAAATTAGATATTTGCGAAAAGTACGTTTACTTTATTCGTAATAAATTCGATAATATTATATTACGTTAAACAATTTGTCTGGATTACTAAAGCAAGGAAAAGTACTGAAAGAGAATCACGTGAATATTTAGAATCTATAGATCCAATTTGTTTTGGGATTAAATCCAAAAAGTTTATGAATATATAGTTAAGACTTTCTGGCATTGTATTGAAAATAATCGTTTTGCAATGTGCAAAGTGCAAACACACATCTGATAGAATTTGCAAAATATACTTACAAACAGAAATCAAAAAAAAAAAGAAAAAAGAATACATATCTTTTATTTTTTAAATAATAAAATATAAAAAAAAAAAATAATATGAAAATATATAAATACGATGAAACAAAGATATATGAAAAATATGAATTCAAATGTTAGCAAATTATGAACGAGTTCAAAAGAGTCTAATTGAACATGAAGCATTTTAATATGATAAACTTTCAATGCTAGAGTGATGTAATCTCTTTTCATGTTCACAGGGACACTGCATGCCCAAAAATAAATGTTGCACTGTCTTTTTCGTTCATCACTTTCATATCATTAAAAGCATTGATAAATACGTATTATAATAATCGTTTAAATTATTTTGTTAAACTTTGAGAAGTTCAATCCTTTATTACAAGTAACAAAATTACTATCATAATGTTAAGATATATATATATATTTTTTTTTTTTCTTTCTCTAATATATGTGCATTAAATTATTTGATTTATTTTTTCTTTTCTTAATGTAAATAACATCTATAAGATAGAGAGAGAGAGAGAGAGAGAGAGTATATTATAAAGAATTGTTGATTATGTCAACAAAAAGATTACGTTGTGAATAAATCATTTAAATAATAATTTTCATCAAAGATGCCTATATAAAATTGGCATTACTATATTTGTTTCTTGACCTACATTTTCAATATCATTTATCATACATCATTGGGTCAACAAGGATAAAAAAAACTGATTACGAGGAGAATTATTTAATACATCATTTATACTATTTGTTAAGCGTATGATCTTAATGAAGTAACTACTTCATTGAAATCATTTGTTAAATAACGTTATCGTTTACACTTAAATTGAATTTCATTAGAGTAATAATAAGAAATTGAATATAGTTGTAGAAAAAATGATTAAAGCTATATTACATAAAGAAATATTTTATATTCAATATACCATAAGATATATTTTCTTAATGAACCATTTTTAATATGAAACTGTAAAAACTATTTTAAAGATAATTATATTTGATATTTTAATAGATTCTAAGATGATAAAAAGATTGTAGTAAGAGTTAAAAGCATACTTATATAATTAATTCCAAAACTTGAAGAGAAAATTAACCTTGTCAATCTTGTATAGAAGGACAATAATCTTGTGTCAATCAGTTGTAGGAGGAGTTGCACAGGATAGAAAAAAAGGAAGGTAAGGTGGTATAATGATGAAGAAAGAACTAAATATAATTAATAAAGTAAAGATTAATGATTAAAAGACATAAAAAGTATTGTCTTACCTTAGGATCTTTTTCATAATAATATTGTTGTGTTCGAATCCATCTAGATACAAGATTATCTTTGACACTGTGTGCTAAAGCAAAGAAATAATCTCGACTTGTAGCAACGTTACGATCCTTGACTAAAGTATAATGAAGATGCCGGTTAAACGTTTTCTTAAAATTCGCGACATTTTCTACATCAACGATACCACGTACGGAAATTTGTTTTCTCTTCTCGTGATCTTGATCGACGAGCGACATGATGATTTGTTTTAATTACAATGCTTCTTACAAAGTCTTAATATATAATAATTGCGATGATATTTAAAAGGAATTATAAACACTGTACACTTGATGTCAGAGAAAGAATGAAAGAAAGAGGGAAAGGGAAAGAGAGAGAGAGAGAAAGTGAATGACTGACAATGAGTGAGAGAAAGAGAGATAGTATGAGATACTTGTGACGACACACAAAAGCACTCGCTCTGGCTCGCCGAAAGCGAATAGAACATATTGCCAACAAATAGAGATACATATTCACCTTCTATAAGGTCGCGCATGCGCGTTCACTCTTTCCTTCTGCGCAAGCGCAAAATGTGCTACATTTCAAATTTTACCGCTATTACATGACTATCGAAAACTATTTGATTGTTTAATTTAAAAATTAGAAAATTTGTTCATATTTAATAAATTGAATTTGGTAAATTTAATTATTCAAATTAAAATAATTTGGACTCAGTAATTTATCTAAAATATTCTCTTCGTATAAACGAGACATAATTTTAAAGTAATACAAAATAAAATAATAATAGGTAAATTAATTAAATATTGGATATGGATATGTTTGAAAAATACGGAAAGTAGTCTCAAAGCCCAATATGATATATCTTATTCAATGTAATTTTATTTATAAATTAATCGTATGGATGCAGATGCAATAATGAGAACTTCAAGAAGCGATACGCGTATTACATTTTACATTGTCAACATCTTGCTGTCAATTTTAATACAAACGTGTGGTCTTGACCTAGATAGGTACCATGATAGAATATAAAGTGACACTTTTTCATTTTTAGCAGTCTAACGTGTTCCGCCTCCTGTTTTCGTGCAACAATTTTACAATTAAATTTGTAATTTTTCTTTTTCTTTTATAATTAATGTATATAATACACAATGTATTTCACATTGTATATGTACCTGATTTATATTTATATATAGATATATATATATGTATATGTATATATATACATATTGTTATATTTATATATATATACACATATACATATACGCACACAGATATCAGGGAAACCTATCTAGTTTCATAACAGTCGTCATAGTTAGGTCTGCATCGATCAAGCACAACGAAAAAAGGATTAGATTAGATTTTAAATAAACAACATTTTAATTTTCCCCTTTAGGTCATCTAATATGCGATCAATTTAAAAATAATAATAATAATAATAATAATAATAATATAATTTTTTGTCTACTAAATTAAATAATAAATTTCCTGTTATTATCGTAATATTAAATTTATAAATCAATACAACAGTTTTCACATAAACCTCCTTTTACGAAAGTTTTAATATCACTGAATTGGATAGGTTTACCCTGTTATATATACATATATTAAAAATTTAATTATAATTAATAATAGTAATTATGATAATATTATGTAAATGTCAACGTTGTTAGACATAATATACACTGTATAATTTGCATTATAATTTCTCTCTCGATTTTCAAACGCGCTAACAAACAACATAAGACACTGCGGAAAAACTTGGGGAACTGTTACACATTATATTGTTGTCCTTTGAAATCATTTTTATAAAAGAAAAGGATATAAACTCATTTTATTAAAATAAAACTTAAGACTACCATATGTTGTACAACAGTACCCCTTGCTCTTGACATTTAATCACACAAACACATATATAGCGCATTCAATAGCCATATATCGATGATTTTATCGTCAAAAACAAGTGGACGTAATAAAGTGAAGGATAGCGATAATCATGAAACACGTTAGTTAGAAGATTACGACGAAACAGATTTCTAAAAAGTATCCTCGCATAAGAGATTGCATTATTTATTACAGCTAGTTAAAATATGCCACCATTGTATCATAGTTAATGAATGATTGATTAATTGCTAAGCATTATATACCTTTTTTCTGTCTTTCATAATAAAGATACATGTGAACAAAATGTCAATGAGTGCATGGGACCGTTGAATCTTTCGAATTCGATTATTTCTTATATTTCTCCTTCGCATTTCTTACAAAGAGCAGTCTCTTTCTCTTTCTTTTTTATTTTTTGTTTTTGTTTTGTTTTTAATGCATCATAAAGATAGAAGATTCAACATATATATGTGACATTCTTGTTCACAGTTTCGCTTTCCTACATTTTTTTTTTTTTTTTCAAGCAATCGCAAATTACATCCAACCGGTCAAGCTTCTTTTTATGTTTTCTTTTCATTTCGCGTTCATAATATTGTTCTATCCACACGCGGCGCTCTTATATTTTCTTCATTTATTTCACTTTCTGCGTTTCTTATGCCTTTTATAATAATAATCCTTTCTGTTCTTATCAAACGTTCTGCTGAAACATCTCAACATATACGCGATTCTTAATCTTCCTTCGTTGGCTCGGGTTTCTTAACTAAAGGGATGGCAGCCTTTATCCTATAAAAAAGAAAAAATAATAAAACAAACAATTATATCGAAATAATTAATTAATAAATACTTTTTATAGTACATTTATAAAAATAAAAATACAAATTGTAATCACATACTTGGCTGTAAACTCATCAACCTTTCCCTTAACCAGAGCCAAATTCTCATCAATTTGTGTTTTATTCGTTTCATACACTTTTGGTAGCGTGAAAAGTGCAACAACACCTGAAATAATGCAATCATAAAAATGTAACAAAATTGTGTATAACTTTTAAAATAAACTTTTCTACATGTTTTTTTTTTTTTTATGTTAATATACTGACCTATGATTATTAAAGTCATTCCATTGAACCATGAGCCAATGTAAGTGAAGCACCAAAGCAAAACGCCAAATTTGAGCGAATCAACGATATCTTCTACCAAGAAGAGTCTACGCAATTCGCTTATGGTTGCATTCACATGAGCAACGGCGATATCCGCGAGTTCGTGTACTTTCTCAGTTGGTAATGTAAGATCTAGGTCAAGAACATATCTAAAAAAAAAAGAAATATTATTACAAATTTATTAACATTCACTTGTACTCTATACAAGTTTGATAAGTATATTAAGGTAAGCTTACTTAAATGGATGTCCATCTGAAGTTTTTTGAATAGCCTGAAGTACACTTTTGTAAATACGGAAGGCTACCGTGGCGACAAGAATGAGTAATGATAAATAAGCAAGTACGCTGATCAAACTGAAGTAGGCCAGCGACAAAAGCAGCCCTAAAGTCGCTCCAAAGACAGCTCCTGATTTTTTTGGATCGCGCCAGTAGATCAGAGTGGCCACTGTAATAAGAATTACGTTAAAATATCTTTATATAATAATTATTCTATGCTTATATGTTAGAAAAACACATACATATATAGGACATACATCAATTTTATTCATTTGTACGAATCACACATCGCTACTTTTGTAAAATAATACTTTTGTTTCTTTTGTTTACAGGTACATAATATAACAATGATAATTTACAATATGAAATATTTCCAATATAGTTCACATTAACATATAATTAAACATAGAAATTCGTTACATACAAATATAAGTTTACAAAATAAAAATAAAATGAAGAATTTTTGTACTGAAAAAGAATATATAATGTTTTATTATTAGAAATAATATACTAAAAACAATAAAAATAATTCACATAAAAGACGGATACTTGTTATCGTAGTGAAATGCTTTCCTCGACACAAAAGCGTCAAACGAGTTTCATAGCTGCTGCATTGAACAAACGGTTCCCCTGTTGAAGAGGATGAGTCGTACTGTTATTCTGTTACAGTCTAATAACCCTTAGCCATCTTCCCCTTTATTCTTTCATTTTCTTTCTTTTTTTTCTATTTTTTTTTCTTTTTAGTTGTACCTCTGTTAATCTCTTGTATTATTTTTTTTTTTTTGCAATTGTTCCTTAATTACGGTAATTACGCGATAAATATTATAATAAAACAGTCTGGTAATTTAAGTACACTTTGCAAGTATACATTTGCTAAATTTGTGTATTTATAAATCTACAATTAAAAAAAATGTTTGAATAAAAAAAAAAATAATAAAAATATTTCAGAAATATATATATATATATATATATAAAGTATTTTGTTTTACTCTTATGAATCTAATAAATATTCCTCGTTAATTAATTGCCATGTGACTCCGTGAAATCGAACACGCATTCATTATTATTTAAATTTTCAATAAATTAATATTGAATATATTATTTTGTTGTTTATATATAAATTATTAAACGTGTTTTACTTCAAATGAATATTCAAATATTAATGATTTACTGTTATAATTAATAAAATTTTATAGAATTTATAAAGTCGCGTGGTTAATTTGACCATATGTTGAAATTTGACACATGGATATTAGCGTAAAGTAAAAGAGTAGAAATTTGTAATATGTTTTTTTTTCGCGTTTGCATCTTTTTTCTTTTTTTTCTCTTTTTTTTTTTTTTTTTTTTTAATTTAAAATAAATCAACTCACCGGCATTTTCATCCGGCAAAACTTTCACCGTAGCTTTCTGTACGTTTCTTCTTGTCATTATTGTATAGCAAGGTATATACTTCCTTCCACGCGAGAAATTTTTAAGACGTCGTAAAATGTTACTACGTAAGGTTGATGGTGTGTAGTATATGCAAGCGCACGCGCGATTATAGATACGTGTGTGATCACACACCGGGTTCGCCGCGTGGTTAAAACGATATCAACGCCATCACCGATTTCCTCGGTATTCGTATGAACTAAAAAACGCGACACGCTGTTTATTCCAAGAATAAGAACTTTCCAATTTTTTTTTTTTCTTTTTTTTTTAATATATCATTCGTTTCTAATAACACATTTATATTCGTAGAATATTTTATTTTTATATCATCCTATATTATTATTATTATTATTATAATTAATTATTATTTTGATCTTTCGATTAGATTCGGCCATTTTGAATTTGTCATTTCAAATAATAAAACATCACGATGGAATTTAAATTGAAATTATTATCCATTCGTATTATAAATAAATACGAAAAAATTGTATTTAAATTACGATAAATAATTGTTAATTAATAAATATATTAATATTATTATTAAAAAAAAGTTGTTTTAATCAATTCAATTGCATCATATTCCCCCCCTCCCCCATTTAAAAATATTAACATAGTTTCATTAAATATTTCAAATAATTCACTAAAAAGAGATTTTCCACATATTATTTTGGTTTTATAAGAAAGAAAGATAATCAAATAGGTAAATGTTCTAATAATAAATACAATTAGAACGTAGCAATCGGCTGGCGAGTGATCTAAACGAAGCAGCAGCAGCAGGCATATCTCTCATCCCGAAGCAGGCATAAAGATTTTCGTAATTTCATTTGGCGATGATTCAGTTTTCTCTCAGCCACAGTCTTAATAAATCTGTAGCTCGGCGACTAGCGACAAGCCAGAGATTTTCTTTCAACCTTTGCCAAAATTATAATACATATATATATATACATACATACACAAAAGATTTGTAAATTTACATGCGTCGTTGAATTGCTCAGGATTAAATCAAACATTTTCAACCATTCTTCTTAGAAGAATGTTTAACATTAACCAAATTTAATCCATAATTAGAAAAAGATAGAAATAAAGAGAGAGAGAGAGAGGGAGAGAGGGGAGAGGGAGAAAAAGAGTGATGTTAAACCCCTCCTCTTATAAATGCGTAGACAACTACTTAAGAAATATTTATAGCTAGCGGTGAACGATCGGAAACTATGTCATTATCACGTGCGCGAAATATTATTTCTTTATCATTTTCCTGAGACGTCAAATTTTAAACGTTTAACAGCTAAAATTATATTGCCATTGAATAAAAAAAATGTCTGAGTTAAAAGTATATCTTCGTTATTTTTAAAACAAATTACATTCATTCAAATTTAATGGTTAAAAGCTCGTTAAGTTGTAGAAAATGATAAAAGAAGGATCTCATTTTTAAAAGGTCATTCAAAATGGAGTAATTAATTTTCAAAATCACGTATAAACTTTGAAGACTCACCCCATATATGTTGTATGGTACTTGCAAAAAAAGAAACTCAGCTGTTCCTTTAATGGATCTACAGTTTGAATTTTTGCAAGTGATTCTTTATGAATAACGATTAACTATCATCAACTATATAATATGAAGAATAACGTTCGTCAATTTCTAACGGATGTAGAATATTAATGATATATCTTTTTTTTGTTTTATTTTTTATTTCCGGTATACCTACGTTTGCAAAATACAGTTATCTTTTATTAAAGAATATTTCAAAATAACAAAATATGATTCATCAATTTTCTCTTCTTTTTTTTTACTGGATTGAATTTAATAATATAATTTGCATAAAATATTTTAATATAATGTATTTTATATTATGTTGTTGTTTTTTTTTTCTTGTTATTTGGCTAAGGAATGAATTCATTCAAAGTAGACATTTTATCGTTTTGAGTGCAACCAACCTATATTACAGTATGTCATGAATAATGTAAAGAGTATGTGTACTTTCTGTGTATTTCTGTGTATTTCTCTCTCTCTCTCTCTCTCTCTCTCTTTTTCTAACTTTATATATATAGAACAAGTATATATATATATATANTATTTACTCAAACATGAAATCAAAACGTGTGAGTTAAACACGTGAACGAATTTAATTTATGGGACGTTCTAAGAAAAAGAATATTTATGTAATAGGTTGTTCCTACACTTAAATTCTTTAAGATTATTTCGAGAATGTTTAATTAAAAGAATCCTTACATTTATCAACAAAAAAAGAAAAAAAAAACATTGTCCTCTTCTTTTCTTTATTAAAGAATAATTATAAGTATACTTTTTAAATTCTACACGAATTTTTGATACATTTGTAGAACAGATTTTAAATGCAAATATATAGAGAAAATTATTTCATACTCGAATATTAATTCACTAAAAGAGATTATATCAATCAAAATAATTCGAATATGCATAAATCAATAAAAATAATGAATAAAACATTGAATATATATATATATATATATATATATATATATATATATATATATATATTCTAAAATAAATATATATATATATTATTTTCTCTCTCACTCACTTTCTTTAACACTAGATATACCAGACCAGTCACTTTGACTGGTCGGGCCATTTTAATTCAAAATTTCTATTTCATGTAACATTTAATTTCTGTAAATAATTAATCATTTTGTTATTTTTTAAAAGTAAATAAAAACTAGAAGCCTTAAAAACCATGTTTATTTTTTTTTTTTATACACCAATTATTTTGACTAGTGCGATAGAAATAGATATACTGAAAATGGTGATAAATCTAGTGTTAATGATATAAATTACTCACATGTTTTTTTCGTGATGGCCATATTTTCAAATAATCCAAGTAAATCCAGAATTACTATAGTACAATTATTATCCTTACTTCCTATTATTATTATTATTATTATTATTATTATTAATAATAATAATTAATCCTTATTTTTACACCGTTTTATTTAATCGTAAGCACCAATTACGAAAGACCTGGTCGAGGTATTATAGGTAAGTAACTAAGGTAACAATTTGGAAATAGATCGAGACGTTGGTTAGATTGAACAAGGTATAAAATAGGGGAGATGAAAAAGAAGAATAAGAGGAAGAAGAAGAAGAAGAAGAAGAAGGGACGAGTATGAAGGGCAGAAAGGAATAATCTAACCCAGGACAAACAGACGTACAAACAGAGGTACAAACAGACACAGTGATACATATACGTATAATACACAGAGGAGGATATAGAAGGAATATGTATTTGTGTATATATATATATATATATATATATATATATGTATATGATATATAAAGAAAGAGAGAGAGATGGAAGATAATGGAGACAAGACGCACGAGGTCGCGATAAAAGCGTATCGATCCTTGGATTAGGTGGGCGAACGATATTACACGAAGACACAACTCTTCTCCTTGCTTGACGACACCCGGGCCAAGGAAACTAGTCGGACTCGAAGAAGAAAATCTTACCGAAAGATAGACAGAAGGGAGAGAGAAAGAAAAAGAGAGAGAAAGAAAGAGTGTGTGTGTGTGTGTGAGAGAGAGAGAGAGAAAGAGAGAGATTGAATGAGTGAGAGAGAGACAAAACTTCGAAAATCTGGCTTAGGGCCAACGAACCTGGCCACACGTTATATTTAGTTTTATCCGAGAGTTCGAGAGGAGTCTGCTCAATAACTACGTAAGAGGGCGCATATACACGTCTTTATATATATATATATATGTATATAACTAAGTTATAATACATATATGTAACATATTTTATAATACATTGTAGTAAGTTATCTAATATTTGTATGAAAAATATTTTTCTGTTTTTATGTTTAAGTTAGAAATAAATTAAACGTGATTGGGATATGTGTAAAATATATAACCAAGTTATACTACAAATATGTGAAAATATATATTAAAATATACATTATTTTATAATATATATTCTAATAATATTTTAATATAT